ATACATCATATCCAAACCCATCATTCATCTCAGGAAGCCCAGAAACAGTGCTTCAATCTGACAATCCCTTAGTAAACCTAAGATCCTAGGGATTTAAGTCTGTTAATTAAGTTAATTAAGCAGGCATAATTTACTTAATTAACTTAGTAAATTTTGCCTAGCTAATTAACTTAATTAACAGCTATTAATTAAGTTAATTAAGTTAAGTTATTAAGTCAACTTAATTGTTGCCAACTCTACATACATCGTGTATAAAAATGGCCGAAACTAACTATATCTGAAAAAAAAAAAAACCCAGGCTAGGGCTTAAAGGCGAAAGTAGACGTACTTGTGGGCATTTGATTTGGGTAGCCTAACATGCAAGACGCGTACATGTTGCTGTGGAAGGGAAACGGCACGCCCGATGAATAGGAATAATTCAGTATATCACGGTAGTCTGAGGCATACACATACGAGAGAAATGAATACCGCAGAACCTGTTTAGAGCACTTTTACCCTAGATCCAGAGAAAATCGTGGAGGTAGTCATAAATTGAGGAGTGCTATTGGCCAACTTCACATTTCTGTAGGAAAAAAGCCACAAGCGATCTACCAATCTTATGCAATAGCGGACCTTTTCCAAAAGCGCCTGTTTCTGGTGAATTCCTGGTCTCTAATGACCGCAAATATGTTCTATCTTAAGTGGCACAAACATCCCCGACGCTCAAGTCGTACCATTCCTCTGTGCGAAGGGCATGCCCAGCCTACAACTTGTCACCATCCGCATGCTCCATCACTCTCCCCGCTATCGAATTGAAAAGTGCTTGATACCATGACGAAATTAACTATGCCCGGCGTTGAAGCGCAGTCGCAATACACCTTCAGTTTGAACTATCGTGTCGCATTCATGATCAGAAACTACCCGATATTGACTATATTGTTGTTATAAATCTTCCTGGCCCTTCTTAGCTACGAATAGCAGACGCCCTATTCATACGGCGGCATAAGCTACGGGTTAAGCCACAGCCCCTGCTTAAGAGAGCACCGCATTATCTCAACCTCTACCACAGACCCACAACATCCCCCTTACTTAGGAAATAAGATATGTCCAATCCCCCGATGAGAGCGACTATGTTCTCAGCCATCGGATTTACTATAGAGGCTAAGGTACAACTGTGGGGTTTTTGATCATAGTACTTCGGTTCACGAGAAGTATACCAGGTGGGAGACTGCATCTCCAGAACCTTCTTCAAGACTCCCTGGACGCTCAATCCGTCGAAAGGAACTTCCGGTCGAGGTGACGACAGCCCATGATAGTCCATTTCTTTGCTCAGGGCGCCCAAGAGGAATGCTCCGCATTGGAAGGAATGAGCATTGTCCTGAAGGCATGTATATTGAGCGGAGCGGAAAGTATCGATCCATTTGTACAATCCCGATATCATGTCCTCAATCGCCTTGATACGCATGTGGTCAATCACAGCTTCAAATGGTCAGCGGCACTTAATGCAAATTTCTTATTTAGGAACATACAGGAGATAAGTCCAGATATTGGAAGCCCCATCGTCTGAATTGATTTATCGTCGCACTGCGTTAGCGCAATATTCGTGGTGTGCTTGAACTGCTGGGGAAGGCGGAAGACCCACGAAACGAGCATCCACAGCATTAGCTTTCGACCATACGTCGAAGGAACTGGGTCGCTCTTCTTTAATATTTCAACCCAAATTCCCACAAACACCACCATGGCTTCTGCGCAATCGTAATAGTCGACTAATACGGCAATCTTAGCAAGCATTTCCAGAGACACCGAGCGAGGGACTGCTTGATTGCGAAGATGAAACACGTTCATCAGGATCAAGAACGCTCTAGCATCCCAATCCTGGGCGGAGACGTAGAAAACCCCATCCTTTTTGCGATGGCTTTCTTTCCAACCATCTTCCGATAGCGCTTTCATGAAATGCTTGGAAGCGAGCATCAGGTGTCGGGAGGAGACGTGATAGCGGATACCGCTCTCGAGGGTTTCATCTTCCGTTGCGACATTGTTATTGAAGTTCATGTCGTTGTGGCATTTCCTAGGCTGTTTGCCATCATCTGGAGGCTCCGGGACCAAATCTGAGACAATTCCACCTTCTACCGTGGTATTTTCCTGCAAGATTAGCCCTTCATTGCTAAAAAGGCTGTGGCGGGCGTTGATCGAGGTTGCGCATACTTCTTGATTCACCTGTACTTCCATCGCCGGTTCTTCCTTTTTCTTCTCCTTCCCCCATCCTGCAGTAGTGTTTCCTACACTAAATTGATCATCAATAGCTTGCCCAAGTGATGGCCTATTGGTGGATATAGGCGACTGGGAACTAGACCGCGATGAGTATAATCCACCCCACCGGGGATGGGGCTCATCGGTGGGAGATGGTGGGATATTAACCACGCGTTCCTTCCAAACTGCGAAACTAGATCCCGCATCTTTCAACAAAATTACAGTATCTGCCCTCTGATCGATGATATGAATGGCCCCAGCCATAGCGGCAACGATTCCGGGATGACGATGGGGTTGATATGAGGCTTCATCTAGAACAAGGTCTTGGGAGGTACTGCAATTTGTTTGCTTCCAAGCATTCAACAGCGCCACATGTGGCTCATGCCGCACGAAACAGCCACAATGCAGGAATGTGGTAGCAGTGCATGCCTGCCTCGGATTTTGTCTTTTGCCACCTAGTCAGGGACGTGATCAGGTGGTATTTCAGGTCAGAAATCGGCGTCCTGTTGGCGTCCTCCCGAATTCTCACAATAGTTTTAACTTACCGGCTCTAATTATAACCCCTGTTATGTCCTACCGAGATGTTGTCTGTGTCTGTATCAGCAATCCCTTTCCTCAGATTGCACGCATCCCGCCACCTCTCTCCTTGGGAGCATGTTCACCTTGTGCAAGGCTATCTAGATCCGAAGGCATCGATCCTCCGACCGCTTATTCTATTCGTAGTATTCTAGCTTGATTTACAATATCAGCTAGATGCTCGATGAATATAGCAAGAGATCTCTCAAAATCTCTAAGACGCTAAACAATTAGAGGTTTAGCAATCATATTGCACCTGACGACTTACGTTCATTACAATTGCCAGTGCAAGAGACGATCTGGAGCAGCTCCCTTAGTCCAAAGAAATGTTTGACATGTTTTCCCCAATAGCAGTAATTGATGGTACTCTTCTGAAGACTATGAGTTTCAGAGCCTGAAGCCACTGTTCAAAATCCTAGCCCGATCGATAATACCTTCAGCAGATCCGAAGAATGCCGAGATGTAGTGACCCGGAACCGTGGGGCATCTACTTAAGGTGATTGCCCTAGAGGTTCCTCATTAATACGACGCTCTTCCGCTACATCACCACCAAGCTCACATCCTTTTCGAATCTGGCCGTCAATTCGATGAAAGGCCTTCGCTCGCCCTCTATTGCATCGATCTCTTCATTCGCAGCATCCTAACTGGCTGCTCTTGGGCACAAACCAATGACCCTCTGATCGATTTGAAATTGTAGACTTGAATGGGCATGAGTTGTGAAGTGATATATTGTGAGGGGTCCGAGATGCTATGTAAGACCAATAGTAGTTTGTGATGCTAAGTCTTGAGTTGATTGGTCAGCTCATAGTAGAGCCCTCGGGTTTACAGGAAGCTCCATGTTCGGAAATGGCCTCGGACTATGCGCGACGGGAATATGATCTGTAACCAGGCCAAGCCTCCATCTACTAGTGCTTATACCTCTTTCCATAACATGGTTGCCGCAGAGGTTCCACATCAATAATTACAACATTCTTCCACTGAACCACACCAAGCCTACGTGTCCGTTCCATCAAACACACACTCTACTAACACCTACAGAATGTCATTATCCCCGTACTTGTTCGTGCCGTATTTCCTTTTCCCACTCACCGTCCACTCTCTTGTGTAGCGGGAGACAGCGTGGAGCTCGTAATGCTCGACAATCTCATATCCGAGCAAAAACTTCTAGATTTGGATCTGGGTCCAAATCGTAACGTGGAATCCGGCAATATGTAGCCTCTAAATGCGTATCGAATTCAAACCTATGAAATCACTCTGCGGGTATGTGGATTAGCCCGCCGTCTGAGTTACTCTCGGAACACGCGCTCGCGAACATGTTCCTGAAGACTGGGATGCGACCTTTTAGCTAATGGGAGCCGACTCGGCATTAATAAGTCTGTTCCTTGTCTGAATAATCGACCGTGTTCCCTTCGTCGCTGCTGATTGATTGTCCTTCCACTTTTCGAGGTCGCCTCGGGGCTTCTTCATGATACTCATCGTGTTGCCCTCTGGATCGATGTTGAAGCGGGGCATGATATATCCTGAGTCGGCTTAAGATCTAGGACACATAGAGGGTCATGTTTATTTGTGCGCTAGATGTTTGTCAAAGGTAGGAGATCAACAGCAGGTGACTTAATCATTGTGCTGTAGAGGTCGCGCATTTGGATTGATCTCACTGTGAGAAACTTGGTTCGCTGTGTAGGGCGGTCATTCCATAACCTTGTGGTAAACAGGGAGATGATGCACAAGAGCAGTTTTCCTCCCGACTCGCTCTCCTCATGCCCCAATTTTGATGTGCGACCTCGGGATGTTCTATTTGTAGAGAGAACTTTGCCACAAAACGTGGAACATGTCCAGGATAGTGGCTGTTAACTCTCTGGCTAGAATGCAAAGGGAACTTACAGGGTGCAACCTTCTGCCCTAAACTACCCCTGTTATGTTCCAACTTCGGCGATGAGACCTTTCGTCAAGCTGTATCACCGGGAGCCCATTTGGTATCGTGTTTAATGTCGCTAGGGTAGCTTGTGTTAAAGACTGTTCGCGCACGGCTTTTATGAACAAATCCAAATGCTCGTATGCATCACCGTTTTGGCTTGCAGGTGGCCCGTGGAGAAGTGTGGTGCTGTGGCGCATTCCGACAGTGGTGTGGTCGGATCGCAACCACGTCATCGCTCTTGTGCTCCACTCTCCCCTTTTTCTTGCAGAGAAGACTATCGGCCGACCAGCAACACAAACGTGCTGTCAAAAAGTCGATGAACACAAGGTTCTGACGCGTCATGCGACTTTTTAGGTATATCGTGCATCGATTTGTTGAGGCCAGGACCGAATTATCGAAAGACTGGGTTGTGGGCTTCCAGAACCTGGTCCAGCAGCAAATCGGAATGCCAGGATCCTTGCGTCTTCCGAGAGGGCGTTTGCACGTTCCGTATAGCGCCACGTTCGTTGCACCCCTGATTAACGGCTCCCGATTCTTGAAAAAGCCTGTTGAACGTCACAGTTTGCTTCCTCTCATTCTTCACGCCATCGTTTCTTGCTCTTTCACTTATAATCTTTTACTCTCGCTGTTCTGTATCATTATATCAATATTTGTCACTCGCTTAATTACGTCGAATTTCTATTTTCACCAATATGCGTATCTCCTCCACTCTTCTTGGCGTCGCAACCCTGGTTGCTGCTGCAGAGGCTCAACTCCGCGGTTTCAACTACGGTGCCTTCTTCATGAACAACGCGGCAAAAAAACAAGTTGACTTTGAGTATGAGTTCAACAAAGCCAAGAACCTCCCGGGGACCACAGGATGGACGAGTGCTCGTCTCTACACCATGATCCAGCATGGCACCACCAACACCCCCATTACCGCCATCCCAGCTGCCATCAAAACACAGACAAAGCTGCTTCTCGGGCTGTGGGCTTCAGCAGGCTCGGCAAACTTCAACAACGAGATTGTGGCTCTGAAGTCGGCGATCTCGACGTACGGAACCGCCTTCACCAATCTTGTCGTGGGCATCTCGGTCGGCTCTGAAGACTTGTATCGAATCACCCCGACTGGTATCGCAAACAGGGCGGGCCCAGGTGTTCAACCCAACAACCTCATCAACTATATCAAGCAAGTCCGCATGGCGATCTCGGGGACCGGCTTGTCCGGGAAGCCTGTTGGCCATGTTGATACCTGGACGGCCTATGTGAACGCCTCGAACAACGCTGTGATTTCCAATCTCGACTTCGTCGGTGTCGACGCGTATCCGTATTTCCAAACCACCATGGCTAACTCAATCGGCAACGCGAACGCGACCTTCTACGACGCCTATAAGCAGACCGTCGCCGCTGCAAAGGGCAAGCCTGTGTGGGTTACTGAGACCGGATGGCCAGTCAGCGGTCCCAAACAGAACCAGGCTGTTGCCAATGCTGCCAATGCTCGCATCTACTGGCAGGACGTTGCGTGCAGTCTGCTTGCTGCGAAAGTCAACCTTTTCTGGTATGACCTGCAGGAGGCTCAGTGGGGCAACCCAAGCCCTGACTTTGGGATCTTCGGTGCTGGTGATCTCGGCACCTTGTCGCCGCGGTACAGCCTTGGCTGTTAGGTATAATACGCGTGAGGGCGAAAGGAGAGAGGAACAGACGGAGCATTCTTGCATTTGAAGCGTGGAAACTGTACTTTGGATTCGGATAAAACAGACAATTGCATCATAGGAACATAGACTCCCGTCATCGAGACGATCTTTCTAAAAACTAATACAAAACTTCCTGGGTCAGAATCCTGCCCAGGAAGGGAATCAGATACATTGTCTCGAATTATTATGTGAGGCCTTCGTGCGATTTCATCCACATTTCACTAACCTTCCCGCGACGCGAACCTCCGATACTCGGTTGCGAGATCCATGGCTTAGGGCATCGAGCTCACCAGAAAAGATCGCGATATGTGCCATGAAACATAAGCTACCCTCATGATTCGTGGTGGGCAATAATAGGACGACATTGGTCAACAAATCGCTGTTCTTCTCCGTGAGCGCCTTTACCTCAACACTTCGAGCTTGCGAGGAGGAATTCTCCTCATTTTATCTTGCTCTGAGATGCAGTAGATGTTGCTATAAGTAACCGGGAGGGTTTGGTTGGCTTGCTCTTTCCCATGTTAGAATACTGCAGCACGTGCTTTCCCCACCTCGCCGTTCGAAACCTCAAACAATCTCAATCTTCCTCCACTCTCTTCGCTTTTCACTCACATCCTAGTCCTCTCAAACTTTTAGCACTCATTTAGCGTTTCTGCTGTTTGTTCCTTACCAATGAAACTGACGCTGAGCTTACCGGAATAGGAAATACCTCGTCCGATTTCCTCCATCTGATAGTGAGTCCTCCTCCTGTCACTAAGAACGATCCAGGGATTATTAGCAGTGTGTGCTCTTTTAGACATGCTCATGGTAGAGCATATTAATAAACTATAGCACAAGTAAACTTTCCTCGTTTGGTCAACGTTTACCGCACTTCCGACACTGCCACCAGGATTCACCCACTGTGCCACTCTAGCGTCGCTGTCACGCATAGGGGACTTTGGGTATCTTCTACGAATCTACGGCAACTTAGAGCCCTCTATCAACCTTCCCCTTTCATTCCTAGGGTTACCCCACTCTCTGTCTTCATAATGATCCATTACCTCTTCCAAGGAGGGATCCTCTCCAACGTCGTCAATGCGGCGGTCCTCCTCACCGGTGGGTTTTTCGGTTACGTATGGATTCCATGTATGCTTCACGAAAAGCTCCCGTTCTAACTCTGCTAGGTAATTATCTATGGTCTCTACAATATCACCCTTCATCCACTGCGGTCCTATCCCGGTCCCCTCCTTTGGTGTGCCTACCGCTTCCCATGGACACGATCCGTCCTCTCTGGGCGCTTCCCATTCGATGCACTTGAGCTTCATAAAAAATACGGCCCAGTCGTTCGGGTCGCACCGTGGGAACTTTCATATACCGACTCGAGCGCTCTGAAAGCCATTAATGGTCACCACAACCCATCCAGCGAAGGATTCGGTGAATTCCCCAAGGACCACATAGAGTACCAGAAGCCGCTGAACGGCATCTACAGCCTTCTTGGAGCCAATGGTCCTGACCACGGTAGATGTCGACGACTGCTTAGTCACTCATTTTCTGACCAGGGTATCCGCGCAATGCAGCCACGGATCCAGAGCTATGCTGACCTACTTGTGAGAAGGCTCGTAGAAGCCGCTGGTACGGGATACATCGACATCCTCAAATGGTACAATTGGACAACTTTTGACATGATAGGTGATCTGGCATTTGGCGAATCATTCCACTGCCTGGAGACGGGCCAAACGGATCCATGGATTGCTGCCATTTTTGGGAATATGAAGGCGATTCCGTTTATACAAGCAATTCGGCATTACAACCTTAATTTACTACTCCCTTGGCTTACACCAAAAAAGCTCCTTGCGCTCCGGAAGTCAAATTATGCACGGACTGACGCTAAGATTGATGAACGTATTGGATTTGGCACCGAACGCGGTGATTTTTGGGACGTCGTAATTGCGAAAAGCGATTTCGAAAAAGGCACCGGCATGACGGTAGAAGAAATGAAAAGCAATGCTTCACTTCTCGTTCTTGCAGGATCTGAAACGACAGCGACTCTTCTCTCTGGAACAACCTATCTCTTACTGAGAAATCCCGATGCCATGAAGAAGCTTATTGAAGAAGTACGTGGTGCGTTCAAACACGAGGATGAGATGGACTTGATGTCAGTGGGAAAACTTGATTACATGCTTGCGGTTCTGGATGAAGCCATGCGCATATATCCTCCAGTCCCGAATCAAGGCAACAGAAGAGTTCCATCCCCTGGAGCTATGGTAGCAGGGAAATGGGTCCCTGGTGGAGTATGTCACTTCTCGGCTCACATCGCCTTGCGCACCCGCGATCGGCTTCGCTAATGCTGAATTAGACCTCGCTTCAAGTCCAACAGTACGCTGCCAATCACATTCCCTCCAACTTTACGCGCCCCGAGGACTTCGTACCAGATAGGTGGTTCGCCAACCCGCCTAATGAATTTGCCAATGATGACCGCGCCGCTCGCGCCCCTTTCAGTTTCGGACCTCGAAACTGTATTGGCCGGAATCTTGCTTATGCCGAGATGAGACTCATCCTGGCCAAAGTTTGTTTCAATTTCGATCTCGAGCTTGATGAGAGCAGGTCGGCGAATTGGATTGGTGATCAGAAGGTTTTCGCACTTTGGGAGAAGCATCCACTTTATGTCCGGTTAACGACTGTGCAGCACTAGAAATGATCGACCAGTGGTGACGGGTAATTCGCCAAACAGGTTTCCCTTGAATGATTTGAATTGCAGACATCGCCGTAATGGGGATGAGGAAGATTAAGTTTCAAAACTGGGAATTCTTAAGTTAGAGTGTGGAATATATTCTGGAAAGGAGCTTATCAATCGCACATAAACCTCTATCCTATCACTTCTCCGCCTTCCTTTTAAGTTCCACTCACAACATCAGCCTGTATAATCTTCGTTCTCCATTTGACCATGTCACTGTCCTAGTAATTGTTCACAGTAGCATGAGTAAATCATCCATGCAAGTGTTTGCCCTCCTGTTCCCTCCGCCTATGCCCTCAGGCTTCCCAGTATCAAACCTTGCGGTATGTCGCAATGTCCGTCGCAAATATAATGGTAGACTTTCCCAACTTTAGGCAGTTTTAGGAGAATCTCTCTGCAGGCTGGACACCATTCTCAGAAGACGGCTCTGTGGTAAAACTGCTTCAAGATTGCAGCTTGGACAGGTCATAGCAGGAAACAACTAGAGTCGCGGACATGATGGTCGGCCGCTCAAACACCACCACCAATGCACTTGCAGAAGAATATGAACCACCCTTAGTGCTAAACATCTATAGCGGATCCTCTTCTAATCTAACGGGTATGGACACTCATGCAAGCCCCTTCCTTTCGTTAACTCCATCAGTGCGAGGTCGTTGTGCTACTGCCGAGCGGATGGTTTCTCACGCCTCAGATTGGGAACGCCAGGCGGGTATTTTCGACTGGCTCGCACAAGAAGAACCCGGCGCACAGGTGCAGATTGAGGAGGATGAATAAGGGTGGTTAGGCCATGATTGTTTGGAGAACATGAGACCTTTGTATGAGACCTTTGTGGGAGGATGGGGATCGTAGTTGGATGGGAGATTTCAGTGATTGGATAGGGAGGGTTGGAGACAAGGTTGGAGGAGTTGTGGAGCAGATAAGGAGGGCTAATTTTGATGGCTGTGTTGAGTTTGTACGACGGTGATTGGTAGGTACTGGATTGGTGATAGGGACTGGGTTGTTGGGGTGGATTCTAGGCTATGGTTTGGGGTGATAGATTCATAAAAACCCCGGAGAAGTTGTTTTGCAGCGCCGACAATCATGGGTAAAATCGGAAAAGCACCTAATCATGCCTCAATTATTCTGTCTTTAGAAATGTTTTGTTGAAATTTAGTGGTTCATTACGAGGTAATTGGCGATCGTGGATTCGTTTGAATAAGAACGAAGCTTCAAATGTTGGAGGGGGATCCGGGTTTATGGGCAGAAGTTTAAATCGCATGGTGGTTTTCCTTCAAGGCTTTGCGAGCTTTCGTTCTTTCCCATATCAACGATGAATAGGGCACCCAAGCGTCAGGATAAAGCGAAATCCACGTGAGGTGTAGCCCCCTACATAACGAGAGCCTAAGCTGTTTCGGCTTTGCATCTGCACTGCTGTTATCGCGCGACCACCTCATTTACTTATTCCTATCTGCATCGCTTCATAGACGGAAACATAGCCACCATCTTATCTTGTGATTGCATACTAGCAGCGCGCTTCTAGAATATATGTCCGACACGAGAGTGGCAAAGTCAACGAATGCCGAACCGTCCTCTCTCTCGTAGTGGGAGCCAGGTCCATCATTGATACAACATCCCGTCTTCCGGAGGGGTTACAGGCCACCTCGAGAATGAACAATGCCCAACTCCGTTGGCATCGTTTCCCGTCACACCCCATTGGACTTTCGAAATATATGTATCGGGGTCGTCTTCCTCTGCCGGGACATGACATGCCGCTGCTATCGCAATACTGCAGCTTCCAACAACAGGTGTATCTGTTTTAAAGCGGAGTGATCCCGTAACGATCAGGGCGAGTATCATGACAATCTCAGCTCCTAGGACAAGGATAATACCGAGAGGGGAGTACCCACAAGACAACACGTCGTTCGAACCGCTGGGGTCTCTCCAACTCTTGGACACCGAACTGTATGTGTAGGTTTGCACGTTGACCAAGAAAATCGACTGGGAAAGGAGCCAATGCAGTAATCCTGAGAATGCCATAAGCGGAAGCGCGATCCGGTACGGTAGTTGGAGAAAGTATGTGCAACGCTGCTCCCCATAGGGAGTATCGGATACCCGAAGCGCCTTTCGACGACGACTGTACGATCCCCATTCCATAACTCCACTAAACGACGTGAATAATCCGTTGTACGAGAAGTACATGAAGGATAAAATGGGCTGTGGCGAATTTGCGATGATGGCGTTTACTATTAGGCCAGCAGCACCTTTGTTAGGAACGCCGAGAAGCCCTAAGATTGTCATAGTTTGGACCTTTCCGAGGCCTAGCTGTCGGATAGTCTGCAGATCCCCACCCAGACCTATGACTTCCTGGATGGCAAGAGATAGAAGCCAGCCGACTATGCCTAGAATGACGAGGTACCTGTAAATGTGAACATTATTGCTGGCTTAGGGTGGCTTGTGTTCTAGAATGTTGTTCACTTACATGAACATGCACAAAGACAACCTTGTCTTGCTAGCGGCTGCGAACAGTCTTCGACGCCTGGACTTGAACGGCATCGGACCCTTCAGCCATGAGTTCTTCCCTCTTTTGATGTCTTTTTTTGAAATCAAGCACATTGATTCGGATGACGGGTCAGGTCGGCACAAAAAGGATGCAATTGCGTCCCCAATAGTCATCAATGGCATCTCTTTCACCCCTACCGCAAGACTGAACATTACAAATGCTTTGATCAGATTCAGGACGATGACCACAATTGCAAGATAGAGGCTTGACTGGACTTTGCACTGTTCCGGAACCCGCTCACTCAGGCAGTAGGCAATGCTCTGTTCGACACCGAAGGGTTTCCAGCTTGACGAATTTGCCCTCAGACTCCCTATTCCGGGGGAGATGTCACAGGACATAGAGGCAATTTCGGAACATACCCACTGTGCGTCTGTTTCGGGGGAACCAAATTTAGACCGGAGGACTGCCGGGATACTGGTGTTCTGGGTCACAACGAGCACGCTACCCCTTGTTTGGAATTGGCGACTGTATGCATTAATGCATGCAAGATTATCCAGTTGTTCCAGTTCGCCATTGGCTTTCAGCTCCCTCAAGCGAACTGCCTCAGCGTCTACCCTACCCTCAATGTTGTTGGGCGGCATTGAAACAAATGCATCCGTCGGAGCTGAGTCCGCAAAAGCCTTTGTCACTGGTATGGCATAGTACTTGTTGTTCCCAATCGAAGAGAATACTGCGGAATTGTAGCTGTGTTAATGCTGTTAGAGCATTCCATTCCGGCTTTATGTTGACAGTTCGGCTCACAATAAGTGGAGAGGCAACGACGAAATTCCAAGCAGCCACCAGAACACAACTCTTTTTGTGGCGATTCCCCGGAGGTTCCGTGTGCTAAGAACCCCAATGTCCAACCACTTTCGCTTCGAGTGCGCTATGTCAACTTCTTTCCTCGTTGGTGCTGATAGACACTGCATGCAGTAATTGCTAGAGCCGAGCAATATTGTACTTAGAGTGTTGATTACGAAATGTATTCCAGTGTTCAGTTTGCCAGCAGTGACGCAGTTGCCTTCATACAGTGTTTGGCGTCCTTCAGCTCCTCCAAACCCGTGACGGGAGATGGCCCAAATCGTCGCCGCGAGATTCACGGCGAACACTAGCAATGTTGAGATGGCGCATGCGAAAACGCTAAATTTCCACCCTTTTGCCTTTTGCTGAAGCCTGGAGATTTTGAATTCTGGAAAGTTGGTCTCTTCTGGCATTGATTTCGCCACCGGAGGACGTCTGGCGTGGCGACCCATAAAGAACAGAAAGATAAAAGCCCACTATCATATGTCTAGCGGTATGAATGGGTTCTCGTGGAACTGAAGCGAGTGTGGATGGAGAGTTTCAAAGGGGCCATGGCAGATATTAAGTCACACGGTTCGAGTCGTTGCTTTTCGCCTGGTTCGCCATTCTATCTCCTGTCCTGCGACTCAACTGCCAGCGCGAAGTCATCAAGGATGGAGACTCCTGAGGTGTGGCTGGGTTCAGCGAGTGATTCGATAACGCCACAAGCCCTACCTTGCAAACTTAGAATGACGAAGCGAAAATCAGGCAATACGGGCTTTGCCGTGGCTCCAACTTCGTATCCACTTTCCCTTCAGAAGGAAAGAATTGTCTTATTGAACAATCTGGAAAACTATATTTTACCTCTCACTTACCAGCCTCAGATGGTTCCTCTTCCCTCATCAAGCCAACTCAATCAATGCCTTTACAAGAACCGTATGGCTTTGGAGCTGCTCGCCTTTACCTGTACCCCACTTGACGAGACCTGGTCGTATCACAAACCAACATTTCCCCTCTCGCTCTTCGGACTCGTCGTAGGCATCGTCAACGTTTGTTTTAGATTGATCATCGACTTTCTTCTCTGCCTTTTCTGGCTCCCAAAGCTCAAAGATCGCCCGCTGTTTCGCCAGTATCTGCCCAAATTCTGTCGCAGCATTTAGCATTGGTGTCAACTTCCTCTCTGCATCCGATATATCGACAATACATGGATAGCCGAGGCTGATAAAAATGGCGTTGAACGCGGCTATGAGGCTTGAATGGGTGTCGATTAGCGCGGTTTGGTCATTAGACTTCGATTCAAGCTTCCCTGCACTGATCGATCGCCACTTTGCGGAATTGTCGTCTGCATCTATGCAAATATGAGGGCCTGCGCACATCCAAAGTAGAAGGCTTTCACTCACGGGGCTTGCTCCACAAGTTTTGGTACGCCATGTCCAGGTGCTGTGCGATGTCGCCACCAAACGCCTTGAATGGTTTTTTAAACAGGTCCCGCTTCAACACCAACCACAATATACCCCTAATCGCCTTCTTCCGCATCTCTTTATCGGCATAATCGATCGGTTTCTTTGACCTGTCCTTGCATCCACTCCACATGAGCTTCTCCGCTTTCTCAGCCCAAGCCTCTGGCTCAAACTTCGAGGTTTGTTTGCCCAGCAAAGTTAAGATTGGTTTCATCTTAACCTCAATCTTCCCAAAGGCCTTAACAATAGTCTCATCGAATTCAGGCTGGAATCTATCCACCCCCGATAAGGCTTCACTCTGAAGCTGCGCAAGTCTCGATCTCATTATCTCGATCTCACGATTATATCCCTCCCAATTACACTGGATCTCGTTGAGGCTTGCTACTTGCTTCTTCAGCGAATCGTTTTCGTTCTGAAGTTTCTCCGCTTCGGCCTTGTACGAATTATATGCCTGCACGTATTTCATAAGAAGCACTAAATCACCATTCGACTGTGGCTCCACTTGTTGCACAGTCTCATTGGTTTGGTGTGACACCTCTTCGTCCAAATCCGCCGTATTGTCGCTACGCGGAAGCTCTGGTTCGGCGGGGGAGCTCCAACCATATCCCATTTTGTCGCCGCGTTCAGATTGTGGGGTTTGAGTTCTGTACTCAGCGCGTTTATATGGATTGTCCTCCCTCTCTTGCCGGGAGTAGTGTCCCCGACGATACGATTCTCGGTCAAGGTCGCTAGCTCCGGCACGGTCGTTCCAGCGGTAAAGAAGATCTGTTCCTGGTTGCGAATGTTCAGCAGAACTTGGTCGTGCCGGCTGCGATGAGGGTCGTCTTGTGTTCCTGGGATAAGATCTAGTTCTACTATGCGAGGTGTGGTGTCCTTGATGGTCTCTTGCTGGCCGGTTCGTCTGTGCGTTAACGCTAGTTAGACCATCGCTCTTCGCCATTCCGACGAAAGGATAGGCCCACGAACCTCTTCCTGGTACTCTTTTTGTTCTGTGTACTGGCCTCTTGACCTAGAATCTGCGACGTTCTCCGGAGATCGCGTCCGCGATCTAGTCATGTCGGTATTCGACTTTCTATCTTCCTGGATCCTTTCAGCATATGGGAACTGCGCTTAGGATTCCGAAAGTAAATGCTTACCGTCTGATCAGATAGTATTTCTTCTTTCAAGAGTTCAGCGCGCTCAGGAGCTTTGTAAGCTTGTTTCTTCGTTTCTTGCTCTTCTTGTGGTCATTTATGAAGCGGAAGAGGATTGCTTTGGAAAACACGGGAACGGCCAAGATGTGAGAGAGAGGTACTCGAGACCTTGTGTCAGTTGTTACTGACCCCTTCAGCTCCACAGCCTTGCCGCGCCACCTCGGCTTTCCTTCGTGTGCAAATCGCTCTCACATATTGGTGAAGGTTCTTTCCGTACATCAGCCCACTCCTTTAAGCCATAGACGGCTCTTAACATATATATGCTCTTAATGGATAGCTTTGTCTGCCAATCCAATGTGGAGAGGATCATTGGAAAATGCCACATAAGATCAGGAAGGCATTCGAACAAGGAAAGTGCACTCAGCCACTATCATTCGTGCATGATACAGACCCGGGTGGAGACCCCATACCGGTTCTAGAGTGGGGACTCTCCCACGTCAAGCGATATATTGGGGCAGTCTGTTATCAAATTCTGGGCTTGGGAGATCTGTTTACGTCTCCTTATGAGTAGATACAGACAACCGTCGCCAGCAGAGCCTCTTCTCCATCCAACCGAGAATTCGAGCTATCGGACACAGAAAAATCCCTGCATCTATCTCGTAACATTAAAACTTTGCAGGACTTCAACATGGCAGCAAGTGGAAGGAAGCTTATCATTGGGCTTGACTTTGGTACCACGTTTAGGTAGGACATTTCATACGCTCGAACATAAGGTAAAATTCTGATCGAGCGACGCTAGCGGGGTCGCATACTGCGAGACCGACAGTAAAGGCAGTGCTCGAGATGTCACCCAAATCCAGCTTGTTACCAACTGGCCTGGGGTCGGTCTCGGGAATACGGAGAAAGTTCCATCGCGCATTTCTTACGGCACCGCCCCTAAGAACGAGATCAAATGGGGCAATTTGGTCACCCACAAGACGAAAGAAGTCCATGCGTTAATGAAGTTACGGCTTGATGAGCGCACGAACAAGAGCAAGCAAATCCGGATGCTACTCGCATTTCTCACAGGCAATTTTGGGAGTCTTAACATCGACGATCTAGACTCGGATCAAGAAGAGGACGCCCCGCCTGAATACCCTGGGAAGGATGCTGTTGATATCGTGGGTGACTATCTCACGTATGTGCGAGAGCATGTCTGGAAAGACCTGGAATCTCAGTACGGTGAAGCCCTCCTTAGCTCCATGGAGAAAGAGGTCGTCGTAACTGTGCCGGCAGTATGGTCTGAGCGAGCGAAAGACCAAACATTGAAGGCCGTCATTGAAGCAAAGTTTCCCGCAGCAAAACTCATGATGGTGACTGAGCCAGAAGCAGCTGCTATCTATTCTCTCAAAGAAATGCAGGAGGGGGCGAAAAGGGATGATGTTCAAGTTGGGGATAACTTCGTCCTATGCGATGCAGGAGGAGGCACGGTCGACTTGATCTCTTACACAATCACTCAAATACAACCGGTTTTCGAGATAGAAGAGGCGGCGATTGGAAGCGGTGATAAATGCGGCGCAACCTATGTTGATAAGGTAAGCCTACTATACTTTGAGAAAAATGGCTCCCGCTGCTGACTACGGCTTTCAGGAGTTTCTTTCATGGCTTGAACGATGGATCGGAAAGGACGCGTATGAACTTATTCCTGCAGAGAAGACTCGTCATGGTAGTCAAATGATGAACGCCTTTGAGATGGTAAAGCACACCTTTATGGGCGACGATTCCGATAATGAGATTCGCCTCCCCAGAGAATGTGGCATCGAAGACGACGAGGAACGTAACATTGATGACCAAGTTCTCACACTAGATGCGTACGTACGTACCGTAACGAATGTCAACTATCTAACTTTGCCACAGAGAGCAGATGAGGGAGATTTTCGATCCATGTATCAACCGGACCCTGGAGTTGATCGATGGTCAAATTGCTTCAGTCCTTAGAAAGGGTAGAAATAAGCCAAAGGTAATCTATTCCACTTCTTACGCACTCTTACGTGCTAAACGGTACGCAGATGGTAATTATTGTTGGAGGATTTGGCAAGAATCCGTACCTCTTCAAGAAGATCACCGAGTACTGCATCCAGAGAGGGATCGTGGCTCGCAAACCGACGTTCCCTTGGTCAGCTGTCGCTCGAGGAGCCGTCTGCCGTGGACTTGAAGGACCATTGACCGGCCTAGTTGCAGTTCGCCTTGCCCGCAAGCATTACGGGACTCCCGTCTGCACCCCTTACAAGCCTGGAATCCACAATGCAGCTGACATGTATGTCGATGAATTCACTGGCTCAAAATACGCAAAGGGCCAGATGCGTTGGATTGTTGATAAGGGTGAGCGACTTCCTGAAAGCTCCCCTAAAAAGGTGTCCATAGAGTGCAGCTGTACCTTCAAGAAGAGCGAAGACCGCGAATTTGGCGCCATACTGGTGGGCTGCGATGCAGATGCGGCTCCGGCCCGCTACGCCCACGAGAGTAAGTCGGCCTTTTTGCTGTTTCCACTCCATTCTATTTCACAGCCAAGCTGACAATAAAGCAGCTGCATACAATATTTGCCGCGTGCGGGCCGACCTGAGCACTGTTCCCGAATCTAAATTCGCACGGGCAAGGTCCGGGCTTGGGGCTGAGGAGTTTTTGATCGCCGAGTTCAAGCTCCAAGCCACCCTGTGTGGTGGAAACATTGATTGGAAGTTCATCTTTGACGGCAAGGAATATGGAACCGTTTCGGTTAGCTATGACAAGTAGGGTATATTTAGGAGCAATTGTTCATTGTCTAGAATTCTGTGGGCAAGTTTTTTTTACTTTTATCATGACTATAGCACCGCGTGACTTTTTTGAAGTAAATTGGATAACGATAACACCGTACATACATGGACCCAGAGAGGATTGGAATGGCGAAGTGGCGATTATCGTCGTTTCTTAATCCTAAATCCGGCCACACCCTGGGGCATGTAACCATTAATGAGGGCCCTCTTGCAGTATCTGCAGATGTGGCGTCAGGCCAGCAGACAAAATACCAATCACGATCTGAGTAGTGCAAGGCCGAACTCTGGCAATTTTGTTTTTTCCACACGGGGAACGCGGTCTAGATAGAGATTGGATACCTTCCCCATAAAGCTGAGACGCCAGGTTCTCAGACGCATATGTACAATTGTGGCTTCGACTTCATTTAGCCCCCCCCCCCCCACGCTGGGTGGATTCAGTGGAGAAGGCATACCAGTCCACTCTCATGTCACGACTGAGCTGCCAAGGGTTGCAGAGATTTATTGAAATCCTGGAATGCAGGAACCTTCTGACATGGTATGCATCAAGCTCTCTCTCACTGGTTATGATTTCAGCCGGATTACATCTACTCGCTTGTGCACATGCGTAACAACATCATTTTGTCTTGACAATCTGTAAGTATCAATTTCTCAAAATATTGCATAACTACGGCGTAGAGCTTTGCGCTGTCACGAGACCAAGGTAGGTGGTTTGGGAGCCAACCTCCTTCAGTCTCCTTGTCTGCTCTACCTGCTAAAACTCTCAGTGAACCACATGGTGCTTGCTACCCGGCCTAGGCCTTGAGAACTCATATGATATGAGCAAGGCTGATGAGGAATGGCGCCTTACCCTGCCCCGACTCCGGCCCCAATACCGGCTGCGACGAATGTATATTCGGCCCACGTGACCACGGTCGCTCCGCTGACCACGACCTTCACCCCGCCTGCAGCGTGCGCCACAAATATTCCAACAGTGATCGCAGGTAGCTGTTATGGCGTAAACTCTTGTTTCTCTTACGGAACTGCTGATTTTTCCTATTCTGCATATGCCAGCCAAAACGCTCTCTGGTGGGGGAGCGACTGGACGCAAAATGGAGCCGTGTCCTGTTATCCCTCAGGCTACTCTGCATTCAATGCCTTCACTTTCTCTCCTGCTATTAGATGCCCCATGGGATATGCAACTCTTTCGTGGTCATCTTTGTACGGACCCGACTACGCCGTTATCTGTTGCCCATCGTGAGTCCAGTCTATATGCTTCTACATCATAGTCCTAATCGATTGAGTAGTGGATATTTGGGTGTAATATATGCCTCCTCGGCATCAAATTATTGGTGCACAAAGTACATGACACTTGGGGATACCGGGGTAATGGTTGCGATCGGAGGAACTAGTCTCTACGACTCCTCCTCATCCTTCATCCAGCATGTTGAGACTCTAAGCGTTATTAAGACATCTACATTCTCGAGATTCCCTGGAGGTCTCTCCTCCTTGCTTGTCTATGCAGACGGTCTTCAACTCCGCGTTGCTAAGTCCTTGGTCTCCGGTACGCCAATTGTATCACCACTGGCCCCTGGCCCTACGACGACTGTCACAAGTGACAACACCAAACCTATCGGCAATTGGTCTACATACGATGGGAAACCGCACATTTTCCGGCTAAACTTTCCTATCACCATCCTTATTATAGTCTGTTTTGCGTTTGCTGGATGTTGTTGCATGGCGGTTTGCTGTTCATTCTTGAAAGGTTGTTGTAAGGGTTCAGCAAGACGAACACGAGTACCCCCTCCACAACAAATGGATCCTTCGTTCCCAAACACACCTTCCCGACCCCGCAGGACCCCTGTTCCCCCTATTCCCCCGGTTCCTCCCGTTCAACAGAAACAACTACCACCGCTGCCTGCACAGGCCCGTCTACCTCTTCGGCCAAGTGTACGATCTACTTACAAGCCTCCGGTATGGACACCGCTTTGCTCACACAAGGCGAGGGCATCGTGTTCGGCGGGGAGAGCTGTAAAATGCTGTAGATGTGTGGATACTCGCGCTCGGGTATTTCCAGACACTCGAGCGGCAACGTACTGCCTAGGTTGCAAGTCTTTCTGGAGGCTGAAGCCCCCTCATGCTGGTCCAGTTTCTGGTTATCAACTATCTTGTGAACACAAGAGCAGAACCGGGTGCATATCGGGCTCATCACTGGCATGCTGCGGCTGCCAGGATAATCGCCTCCACGCAATGCCGCGAAGCGCTCGAGTAGGGACCTACTGCTGGGCATGTAAGACCTATTGGCTTGAGCAGCCCAAAGGAGTGGTTCCTTCCAATTGGGATTCACTCGCTTGCCCCCACAAAAAAATGTCGGCATGTATGCGGGATAACTCGATCCCATGCTGCGGATGCAAGGACCAGCGCAGATCGCGAATGATGCGCAATGACGGAGTCCGGTCCTACTGCGTGGGGTGTGGGTCCTTCTGGAAATCAAAGAGTGTAAACGAGGTCCCTAGTTGGTGGGAAGGAAAGCCCGACTTATGCAAACACAAGGTCGAGACTTCTTGCACCCTTCCCCAGGACAAGGCTTGCTGTACGTGCGAAGACGAGAAGTTACGGCCGAGACCCCTCATTAAGAGTGAGAGAATCAAGAGCTATTGTGGGGAGTGTCTCGTGTATTGGACGATGCGTTCCGGAAGCGGCTTGCCATCTTGGTGGAAATGCGAACAAGCGGAGGAAGATGGTTATTCCTTAATTCTTCATGCTAAGTTCAAAAAACCGGATTCCATTGCCGATAAGCCAGGTGGTTACTTTCAGTGGCTCTCGCAAAGTGTTCTACATTCAGCAAAGTATTCGGCTTTACCGAGAGATGCATTCGAAGGAATGCTTGACAGGGGGCCGACGTATGCTACACCCCAATTCTGCGTGGATATCGGGGGGCGCCTTAAACCCGAAAGTTCCTCTCTGAATCCCCGTGCTTTGACCAATCAGACTAATGTTGAATCGATGCCAGAAGGACAGCCCAAAGGGAAGCAGAAAGTGTTAGGCATGGGGAATTGGCAGTATTCTGAGAACCCACGCGTAACTGTGGAGGATGGAAGGCCGAGTACACCTCCAAATGATGCACCGTCAAATATATCTGACCTAGGCCCAACATTCTCCGCGCCGAAGTTCGAAGTTCCTGCCGATATCAGCACGCCTTCTCCAAGAGCCTCAGGTAGCAGTGTTAAACAGGGTTGGAAGGGAACACGGAAAAGCGGTGAGTTGTATATAAGCACGAAAATCGGGTGCCGCTAACTCTCCACAGTCTTGCCAGAAGTAAGAGGACGAAAACCTTGGGACCGCGGGCTCCAAAGAGGTCAACCAAAGTTTCATGTCTCTGAGAACGGAACTTTAGACAAATAGAAATGGTAGACAAGAAGAAGGTTTTTGTGAATATGGAAATTATAAGAGAAGTTTCAATGAACGAAGTTGTTTTGACATGTTTACATTGCTCTCCTCGTTACGTTCACCTAATATTCATGTTCACTCTACTTTCACCGTTACTTCGCATAATCGCATTAGATGAAGGAAGACATGAAACATGAACGGAAGAAGCAAATAATCGAGCTTAGCTCCGGTGCGACAGCATTATCTTCATTCGGCAAGGACTCTCGGACAAGATAGCTTGCTTGGGCCCAACTTGGTCAAGATGCAGGAGGATTCGGAAGGTGTTGCGTCGCTAAAAGGTCAACCTTCCAGCTAGCACAGCAGAAAGGTATATATAGGCGGGTAATTGTATGCGACAAAAGGGAATTCTAACGAGAGTTCCAATAATCCAACCGCGTCTAGTTCAGACAATAGATACACATTGGGGATTCGGATGACAGATCTACATCGAGCTCTGACGGCTGGAAGTTCAAGGTCTGGCCAAATTCGGATCTTGTGGCATTTAGTTCAGGAATGCGAGCCCGAAAGGAGGGTGTGACATTTGGCCTCATTCTTACTTCATATTTGGCCGTGCTTCGAGTGTTCAGGGGTTCGGGCTCGGATCTGGGTACCGTGGGGTGCAGACTTGTCAACAAGCAAGTCAAGCGTACTATCAGAGAGAAGCGCTATGCTTATTTGGACGCGTTAGACCTATAAAAGAGGGTTACGAAAATGGGTAGTCAATCAAGTCAAGTTGGACCCCGGAAACGCCACAAACTTGCCTGTTAAGAAGTCTGGTGGACTGGGAGTTTGTGGGAGTTATGGGATGTCCTGCATTCATGGAAAATTGCTTTCCCTGTATTGCACTGAATTCCACTTCCGTGTTCGAAATGCATGGCCAGTAATGTATTAACTTAAGAATATCCCTAGATATGTGATTAGCTTTCAAGCACACATACCATGTTTCCAATGATGAGACGAGAGCAACATGATCTCGAATTCTCATCTCCTTAAGACAGGTAGCTCATTGCATTTTTGAATGAATGCCTTTGATCATCATTGAGTCTCTGAAACCGCTCGGTCCTACTACTTTCCCGTCACTGCCCCGACAATATCCATTGAATTGCCAACAATATTTGCACAGGAGCGAATAGCCAACCTTCCAACTCTCTGAGTTCATCTACTTAGTCGTCTTCCACCTCGCTCGAATCTGCCACTGCGCTACCCAAGATTACGCCACCAGACTTGTCAACAAGCAAGTTGTGGCTTTTTCAAGGTCCAACTTGGCTTGATTGATTACCTACTTGCGATCATGACCTTTCTGTATAGGTTTAAGGCGTCTAAATAGGCATAACGCTGTTCTCTGACAGTAAGCTTGACTTGCATGCTGAAAAATCTGTCTTCTATTGTCATGTAGTCAGTGTACTCAGTTCTAATCATTCATTCGATACTTTCTCCTATGTTCCCTGTGATATCTTCTTGAACCAAATCTTTCCCATATCCCGTCAAAGTTTCCAGCGAGATTATTCAACAACAAAAAGCTTCAGATGGTTGACGGTGTTTTAGTCCCGCCGTGCGTATCCTATCGCTTACGTTCTTCAGAGTGCCCAAACCCAACAAGTATTTCACATGACCGTTCATCGGTGCCGATGCAGAACTTTCCTTGTTGTCCGCGGCTCCGCCACAAACCCAAATTACTGAACATATTCGGAATTTTGAATCTCCGTAGATAGAAGCCCCCCTAGTGATATCTGGGGACATCGTCGCCGTAGCTCAACCTGAACTTAAAAAGAATGAACTCCTGTCTCAAATCTGCTCTACGACATGGAATCATGGGCAATACTATCCACTGTAAGGTATGGCTGCTCATATTGCTTTCACAGGGACTTTGGAAATGCTCTCGAGGCCCAAATCACAATGTGCAGCAGTTAAGCCTTTGGAATATCCTCTATATGGCACGTTGTCACATAACCTGGTGCATATTTAGGTCTGAGCTTATCTCTTAAAATTTTTGCCATGGTTAAGTAGCAAAACTCGTGCTGTTATAGTGTTTCTACACCATGAGGTCCGATGAAGCCACCAAATTACGAAACAGCACCAATCCCCTTAGCTCCCTTCTTCGCGAACACCCTCGAGGGACCTTCAGGCGTAGCAAATGCCTTTAAAAAGCCCAAGAAGCCCAGGCAGCCTCGATTAGCTGGTACAAAGTGCGCAACAGCAGCACAACAAGATGCACCCTGTGACGCTTGCGAAAATGATACCAATAATCGCCCCAACGGCGTACCTCTCCTTGTGCTTGTGCTTGACATTCTTCCCATATGTCTGGACGAGCGGCACAACTTGATCGGCACTTGTACTATCTGTAACATAGCATGAGGTTGAAAGGCTATAGCAATGATCCCGAAAGGTTGCATTATATAAGTCAGACGTGTTATCGCGCTGATAGTATAGCTCGACGGATATCCCGCAATAACCATAATTTGCCCATGTTGTGAGGCGAGTGCCGGGAGTTCCTTTGTGTAATACCGTGTTCCCGGTTAGTTCCATATTAGCACCAAAATAACGAAGTTCATAGCGCTGAAGGTTGTGCAATGCGTTTTGGAAGACAATATGTGTCCGGTTCGTGGAGGCGTCGGATAGGGAGAGGAGAGAAGTAGCAGGGAATATTGCGTCAGTTCCAGTAAAACCTATTCCAGCTGTCAGCATGCTAACATGGCAGTTGTTAAGCCATGGACGAACCCTGTTTCCAGTGCCACCCTGTCACATTAGACCGGTACCACGATATGATGCGAGATTTGTTGTTCGTTGTCCACAGTGTTTCGATGCCTCTCGCAAATTGACACTCGACCTCCGTCGCACCTTGTAGATCTGGGAGATCATCTATGTGCTGCCATGGATCTTTCGTTCTATTCCAGAATGCAAACTTCTGAATGCTTCCATCTGAGGCGCCATAGTACAGGTAGAGGCTAGCATTCATCGCATACTTGTACCTTGCCGAATCCGACGCGACACAGCTTCGAAGGAAGAGAGAATCGGAGGTCTTCAGTTGTTGGGACCCAACAGGATGGACGAACCATTTCGAGACATAGCTGACGCTCGGAGTGCCAAAAAGTCCTTGCACCATGTTGTTGTTGTCTACATAAAATACGTGTACCTCCCTTTTATAAGCGTCTTAAATCGACTTTATAAGTTTTCAGGAGATCATACCTGGTAAGGGTAGGAGTTGAGAAGCGAAGCTGAAACAGGGCTCCCTGGGTGAACGCCTGTTGCAATTTTCCCCGGACTGCCCCTCTGCCAAGTTGAGCGATAATCATATATGTGCTCTAGGTTACCTGCTTGGTCAGTATAAAACATATGAGCATAGTTGTTCGGTGACACCGCATCAAAGCCACCTAAGTACTGCTGAGGTTGCAAAGTTGGTTGCGGTGTAGGTGTTGACGTCGGATGCTGTGATGCGACAATGGAGACGACTGTCGAAGTCACAACAGTAGTTGTATTAGAAGCGGTATGATTTCGGTCCCTAAATCCAATTAGTTCAAACACTTTCGTAAGAGTAGGTGTGGGACAAGTCCGTCCTTACTTTAGCACAACTGGGAGAACTGATCCTACTACGATTGCTATCACACCAAGCACGGCAATTATTACAATTGCTGCGATACAGTACTTCCTATGGGAGGGCTTTCTTGGTGATTCTGGCGATCGCTCGACATCTACTGGTTCAAACTTTCCTGGAATTGCTTTCAGCGGCTTTGGCTTCATCAGTTTGTTGGACCCGAATTTGGCTTTCGCAATAGAGCTTTTGGTAGAGGTATAAACGTTGGTCTCGCCGGTCCCAACAATGAACTTCCCTTCAGCCCCACACTCGCTCGTTGGAGGGCTGCTCCGAAATGGGGGAGGTGAAGTGCCAACATGACTGTATGGTGGGGGAGAAGATTCGGGAACGGACGACGAGGAGCGCCTTGACAACGACATCTTCGACTGTTGGGTGACCAAGTCGGAAGGCTAAACAATTATGCGCGCAGTGACTGGAAGTAACTTTTAAACCAGAAAGGGAGAAGCGCTCTACATTTAACCCTAGCCTCGAGGATGATCATGAGCTCCATCCATCAAATTCGCGGGCAGACGAGCTTTGGTCTTCATCGGAAGTAGGCAAAAAAGGTTTGCTAGGCAGATAGCCCTGGAAATCCTGATGTGGCATTGGATGGTGATAGGCTGAAATCTGCCTAGGGCGTCACGAAAAAGCTTGCAAGGCAGTCTGCTTCATGCTACACCCGACGCTCTCTTGCAACACATCAAGATCTGACACGTGGATTGTAGATTTCGTTAGTTTTTTACTATATGAGGCGGTACTATTCTAACTGTTTCATGAGAATCCTCTCTTGGCGTTTTGAGGAGTTGAGACATTTAAGGAAGAAGTGACCAGTTATCGTCGCTTGGCATTTCTGAATCCGGTGACCGCAAGGATGGACGGATCCACGAGGCAGAATCTCGCTAATGTTGCGGCTGTGTCGCCTCACACCTGGGGGAGGAACCATTCACAATTCGAACGACTCAGCTTGTGAGGAATTCTGGGGTCTTTTCCACAAGGTTGAGACATCAAATGAGGGGGTGTCTGCCTGAATGTTACCCCCGCGCTGAGTGAATAAAGATATGAGGAGAAGGTATCAAACCCATTGGCATCCAGAAGCAAGTACCCCCCACTTCCTTGAGGATCTTGGACGAGAAGAAGTGGTCGGTTATGGTCCAGCCAGATGAATGAGGCCAAGAAGAGGAGAAGACTTTCGTAACGAATTATTTGCCGACTGAACGGAGATCGGAAATGACTTTGAATCTCGGGCATTGGGTCCCGCCGGAGAGAGTCACGGCATTTGCTCAACCTGGAGGTTTAAAGGAAAGTTGTGGCTAGGAGGTTGTAATATGGGATGGGGATGTACCGATCGGTTTGAGTCGCTCGATTCCGCCATGGGAGAGAGGACAACCACAAGGGGTTCTTGGCACCGCCATTCAAAAGATTGGCCTCGCATTAATTCATTTTCATTAGCCCAAAAACTTTCACGCCATCTGACTCTATTCCAGTGCAATGCCATCGATATACTTGGTCATTCATTCCCCTGTCCATCGTCCATTCCAATCCCCTGCAGATGATGAAGTGAACGACAACCGCGGAAGCTCTGCTCGTAAGCGCTTCTCCTTCCACGAGTACACCACTGCAGACGAAAGTCAGTTAATACGCACGATTTGCAGGATAATCAGAAACCTAGCATAGTAACTAACTGAAGGCGTGAATGATGTTTTTAACAAAAGAGTTGGATGTCTTGGTTCAGACACGTGAAAGCGGGGAGTTTAATTTACACCTATATATGGGGACACACACACCCAGTAACGCAGACAATATTGGGCTCAGGCCGCAACAACCTGTCGTCGTGGCAAACAATCAACCCATATTACTCCAAATGAAGGCCGTGCCGTTTACCCCATAATGTCACGCAATCTACCTTACTTGAAATCTATAAGTTTTGTGATCTTCTGAAAATCAGACTTTTGAAAATTCATAAGAATTCATTCGCATACACTTACCTTTCAATTCGTCCGAGATAGGGCCAGCTTGACAACATGTTCTTCGAAGCTACTGCAACCCTCCTCTTCCTCTCGATCTTCCTGAGCGAGGCCTTGGCCGCCCCAGCAGGCTCAAAGCACAACATCTACCTCGTCAAATGCGAGCCGAACGAATGCCCCATCGGCCTCTGTGACCCAGGGGAATTCACTATCATGGGTGCCGCTCTTTTCAGAAATGGACCAGTCACTAGCGGAACACGAGTAACGAAGCCCGATGTCTTCACGGAAGTTAGCGGCTATCGCTCGCAGTGGGAAGGGGCCAAGCGGACTGTGCGTATGGGTACTGATGGCACATTGACATCAAACATTTCTTCCGGCGCTGCAGCGTTGGCGAAAGGGCAAATTGCGGGAGATGCAACACTAGGCTCAGAACCGTTTACCTGTTTCAAAGACGGCAGTACTAAGTTCACGATCAGCCGTGATGGAGATGCATACACCTGCACAACGAGCTACTGGTGTCCTTCGGTTGATGTTTCGATATAATTGCGACAGTACGAAGGCCGTTAGGGCACACCTGTAGATGGATATGTATAAATCGAGTCGTGGAAAGGCTAGATCATAAAATGTACATATATCTGGACTTCAACTCCACCTGTGGGATGCGGATATCGATGTGAACCCGCTTGCTTGGAGCAGGGTTGAAGGTCACGTGTCAGTAAACGAAGTTGCCTTCACCATCCATATTCCTTCCATCGTGAAGGAACTCTGAAACATTCGGGAATGGAACACTTTTAGAAATTACCCGTCCTCCATTTTTCTCATTCGTCTGCAGATTAATGATTATTGGTTTAACATTTTGACTCTCATTGGCTGCCTCCAGACCCACTCTAACTCCGTACGGCCGGAGGCGAATAAGACGACATCAAAGAGCTGTCGTGTCTCTCCACTTTCCAAACACTGTTGAACCGCGTCCTTCTTACAATGACTACCTCTATCGATGCAGCAGATCTGTTTAGTGTCAATGGCCTTGTCGCCGTGGTCACCGGTGGTGGAACAGGTTCGCATCACTTGAAATCGCGTCTTGGTATGACTACCAGCTTACATGAATAGGAATCGGTCTCATGTTAGCCAAAGCACTAGAATCAAACGGCGCGACTGTCTACATCATTGGCCGAAGAGAAGAAGTGTTAAAGAAGGCAGCTGAAGAAGCTGTAAGCAACGCCCATCCACCCCCCTGCAAAGACAGTTAAGTCATAATTCCAGCAAAAAGAAGCACGGCAACATAATCCCTCTACAAGGAGACGTAACATCTCGCGAAGACCTCGATCGTATCGTCTCCATCATCGCCTTGAAGACCGGCTTTGTCAACGTCGTCATCGCCAATTCGGGAATCATCGGCCCAACCCCAAAAGGCCTTTCACCAAACCCCAATATCTCAGAATTCCGCTCATTCCTGTGGAATTGGAAGGAAGAAGAGTTCACGCAGACATATGCGGTGAATGACACCGCAGTTTTCTACACCGTGGTGGCCTTTCTTGAGCTTTTGGACGCCGGGAATAAGAGAGGCAATGTGTCGCAGAAGAGTCAGGTCATTGCAACGAGTTCGATTGGTGGATTTAACCGCATTCCGATAACTGGGTATGCGTATGGGAGTAGTAAAGCCGCCGTGAATCATATGATGAAGCAATTCGCTTCAAATTTGGTGCCATTCGACATTCGGAGTAATGTCATTGCACCTGGGTGTAAGTATGGCGATTCGATTTGATTTCACAAAATATTTACCAAAGAGCTCAGTATATCCATCAGAGATGACAAAAGTTGCATTTGCCGAACAACAAAAAAATGAGATCCCGAAAGATTTCATCCCAGCGCAAAGAGCGGGTACCATCGAGGACATGGCTGGTGCGATCCTGTTTCTCGTGTCAAAAGCTGGAGCATACATTAACGGAAATGTTCTCATCACAGATGGGGGAAGATTAGGTATTCTACCAGCTACATATTGACATGGGGCGCTGAGCCGACGCGGGAGCGAAACCACCTGGGAGTCTCAAATGTCCTCTCTCCACTGCCACTACCGCTCTTTCCTACTTCCACTTTCCCGTGCATCTATATGACCGCTTTCCAAACTGCAAGCATTTGTCTATAACCATCGATAACGGGATAAAAGCCAACGATAAGAAGTGTGATCCAAAGTCAGATTGACCTACCACAATCCACGCGATGAAGAACTATGAGCAGCAATTGTTAGAGCATATTTTCAGTCAAAAGAGAAGACTAATTATGAGCTAGGATCTACCCCTTTACGAAAGATATTGTTCAACGCGTACATTGGCAACGGCCAGAGCACCTAATGACCCCCAAACGTCGCAAGAGCCCATACCGCCGCAATTCTTCCCCACCGCGTAGGCAGCGGCTGCGAATTTTTGTGACCCTGCCCAAGTTTCGCCTTAGCAATATGATTGGCTCCACCGAGCGATGACTTTCGATCGACTTTAAAGGTAACTCCTTCCTTGTGGAAATCTGCCTAGTCAAAGTACTGGGGGTTGAATAGGGTGATAATAATAGAGTATGGTAGTGGAGAGATAGCTGAAACTACGGTACCGCAGGCACGAAAGTGTTGCGCCGGTAGCGGTGATAGAGTCTGTACGCAGAGAGAGCCAAGCCATACCACGAGGAGGCTATCCCCAGTCGGGCACTTGACAAAAGGGCACTTGGGCTGGAATATTGTCACGGGGTACCTCGAATCCACGGCTCGCACTCTAGGCCATACGGAGAACCAGGACGCGACGAGCGTTATGGAATCGCGGAGGAATCTGCGGGTAATATACACTTTATTCAAGTCCTCGTGGTATGATGATGCTGTCGTACTAGACAGAGCGCGAGGCGTGTATACGGATCCTACTCGTATGTTGGGGATCAGTCACAAAGGGAGGTATCACGCAATCCTAGGTCCACAAATATGTCAACCGCTTCCTCAACGAACACCCCTGTTGTTACAAGCAGGGACGCCCCAGAGCAGGAAAAATGTTCGCAGCTCCGCACGCTGAAGGAATTCGTTGCTGGCCACAGTCATGCCGCTGTAGCAAAGAATGTCGCCGAAGTCCGGCAGCTTGCAAAAGAGAGATTTGGAAGGCGTCCGGTAGATGTCAAATTCCTGGCACTGATATGCCCCGTGGCTGGTGGGAATGAGGGCGAAACACGAGCAAAATTTGAGGACTGCGCACAGCATGGGGATATTGACGGCGCTTTGGCTTTGCTCTGAGGGTGGACGGATATTGACTTAGCGCAATATGGCGAGGATGAGGAGTTGAGGTATGTAGAAAGTAACGCAATCCGGTATGTATTCCCCGGTCTTGTTGTTTAAACCCCTAAACTCCCTCAACCTAATCTTTCCAGGTCTGCCATAGAGATGTTGACGAAAATTACACCCAGGATCCTGAAATGGCCTAAGATCGAAGGCCCTGGTGCTACCGTAGTCGGAACTCCTGCGCTGGCCGCTGATGAGTTTAAACCGTGGGTGGGAGAAACCGACGTAGATGGGTTTAAAAATCGCATATGCAATGAAGCTTGGAGCGTTCGTCGACGTAGTTAAATTATTAATCCTAGAGCTTCGAAGCAAGGGACTCTTTTAGGAAGATTACTCGTGCCTGGGGTACATACCAAGAGAATGTATATCATAGAAAGGGTCAAAGCGACATGCCGCCACAGCATACAGCGAGTACATATCGGTGGCGTGCTGGATTAGAAGCGAAGGACCCCGCAATCCCGGAGTGAGGGACAGGATAATAAAATTGGGATGGAATTTGTGCTTCCCTAACACGTCGGTGTAAAAGACACGTGCTGCCGCCCCCACACTCTCCATGGAGAATTCGTCGTGTTCGCGACCCTATCTAGTATCGGTTAACCTCCACCATGAAGATAATTTCGAGTTGTTTGTGAATCCTACCCAGTCTAGGTCTTACTATACCGCAGTTTTCCCCTGCGGGTTTAGGTGAATTGGGACGCAATGTGTTGCTGCGGATCGTTGAATCGGGTCTCGATTCTGCCCTCCAGGTGTCTTTCGGCAGCGGCAGCTGCAACTACTATTTCCTAATTATCCCATTCCCTAGTTAGGTGACCAACTGATGGCCAATATGAAGATCTCATGCTATCCTTGGTTCCGGATTCAATGACTTTGTGAAGCAGTGAATCGCGTAACACTCACTTCAGAACATAGTTCTAATTTCGAAGTGCCCCATGATCCACGATTGGACCTGCAAGCCGACCTGGATGAACGCCTATAATACGTCGCAGCAAGCTCATCTGCATTATGGCTGCCTAACGTGAACTATGACTAGTGTAGATGCCATCCCCCAAACACCCTGCTGGAATTACCGATACTGTCAAAAGAATACAAATTTCCCTCCTCAATCAGTCATATTATATTTAGCACCTGTTAGTCGCCAAGATATGGTAGCGCAGCGATCGCGCAAGGTTATACGAACTGCCGTTAATTAGTTATTCAGGATGGTTTCTTGCAGCTACCATTTGTCTCAAACTCTGACAACAACAACAGTAAACGTTTTCATGAAGATATTGCCTAGCTGCATAATTCCACCCTTCCTCTCTAGCACAATATTCTTCCTCTCCCCAAACTGTCCGTTCTTTTCTTCCAGCAGAATCGTCTCCCCTCAATCGAAACCAGTGGATGCAATCTCCCCACTACCCACAACCTCATCAAACCTAACACTTGCCCGCACGACCTCCCTGCCTTTCCCATCTTTGACCAAAAAATAACCTGAAAACAGCTTCCTTCTAGCACTAGGGTCTGTTATCAAGGCTTCTAAGTGTCGCGGCTCGAGCGGCAAGCATACACTTGCCGCTCGCGTGTCTGATATCAAGATAACGCGATAAGTGTCGGACTTAGGGCTGTAGACTAGCGAGAGCGTGGCACAGGGAAGGATTTGGTCCTGCACGACCATGTCTCCTGCGAAGCGCTGAAAGAGGATGTGATCGCCGAATAGGTGGCGGGTTAGGTGAAGGTGGAAGAGGTTTGATTGCATAGCTTGGAGGGACGAGAGGAAGGCTTGTGCTTCTAGGATGGTGGAATGGTGTTATTCAGGTGCTGAGAGGGTTCCAAGGCAGACGAGGAAAGGTAACGACAACGACTTACCGGTTGATTCTCCGAACTCAACGTCGACGGAAGTGCATTTTATTTGTTGGATTGTAGCACTGTGGGAAGAGTCCGTTTTCTGCTCCGATACGACGAGAATATCGTGCAGGCAGATGGTGCGGCGGCCGCTGCCACGTGATATGGTGGTGTTATGGTGAACTTGCCGGATATTAGTTTCCAAGGGGCTGGCATTGAAGACAATGAGAAACGGTGAGTGCCGGCACATACAAGATATATAGTAAGTGCTGTCTCCTCCACCACCGAGCATCTTGTTGGTCTCCTGAAACAGCACCTCAGCATGTGGTTGTTGAAGCTCGAAATCCATAGCAGATGATAGTGGGATACCGCCTCTTGAAGTATCCTCCGGCTTGCTAAACGACGTATCGCTAGGTGCCTGCCTTACAGCACCCTCAGGCATACTCTTGTAATGCAGAACTGAATAAGCTGAATCTGCAGCAGCACGGAACTGCCGCTCACCGACGGTGAATAAGAGAGTACAGGTCCCTTCGTCATATTCGGGTACCTGTTCCGTTTTCGAGGCTAGGACGGACACGATTCCGTCCGAGTATTCATCAGAGGAAGACCCTGCAGTAGCGTTGAAGGAGACAAGACGTGTGGTTTGATTGCGAAGAAGGTGTTGGCGGGCTTGCACAAGGGAGAGGCAGGACGCTGCGGCTTCGAAGTCTTGGAGATATGTGTTAAGTTGTTAGCTTAATGTAAGCGCGGAAAGGGAGGTAGATGCAATACTTGTCGGCTCGACTTCTGAAATATAGATCGAGCTGATCCTGTGCGGTGTACTCCGTGAAGCAGCGTACATGTGCCAGCGCGGGGGCTCGGAGTCTAGAGTTGCTACTTGGACTAGTAGACTGGACGGTAATACTTGAAGGTGTTTGAGTATGATCAGTTCGACTTGTTTGAAGGGCTGGGCTCAAGTCTTACACGACACGTGGAGAGATTCTGCATGGTCTAATGCTGTTGAGTTTCGAGAGCAACAGCACTGAAATATACTCGGCGCAACCCTGAATGGGTCCTTATCATCAAGCCAGTTATCTCGAAACGTTGCTCGTGGACAGTGAAGGTTCATGTATTCACGACCTGGCATGATCTGAATGGAAACAGAGAACCAAAGTCCCCCATGATTTTGCACTTCTGAGCCAAGGTGATACTGCGGAGATGCCGAAGCAGTTGCAGCTTGCTGCCCTTGAAGATTCTGCTTGAACCACTCGTAAATGCTATCAAGCTTGGTGTGCATGCCCTCGACATGGCTTTTGACTTCACGGCCATAGCGCCTAGTAGTTCGAAGTTAGCCACACCAAGTAATCTAATAGCTGCGATATAATCCTCTTACTTATTGATTGCCGAAAGGGCTAGATTGAGCCCGTTGATATGAGCTGAGAGTGTCGTCTTGAGCTTGATAATATCTCCCCCCTCTTTTGTCCACAATAACTTCTTCCAATTCTTCTTCACCTCATCTTTCCACTTCTTTTGTCCCCTCTGTCCATCATTCTTGTCTAACTCCATGTATCTGTCCACCATAGCCTTGAGATATGTCAAGGTACTTCGACAATTTAATATCATTTGCGCAAGGAGCGCGTCGTCGGCTTCTGGGACGGCATTATCAGCCTGTCCGTCGGCCACTCTCTCTGCCTGCGCAACCTGATTGCCAACGGGCAAGTCTTTTGCTAGCACTTTCAGCGCCTCGCCGAGCGTAAAAAGTAGATCCTGGATTTCTGCGAACTCGGCTGGGGCCGACTTGCGTCCGGAAGTAAAGGCTTCGCCGATGCTCCAGGCAATCTGCGATAGTAGTATTGCGTCGCCGACCGAGATTGGAATACCCATGCTAAGGTATGTAGCGCGTTTGACGACTCTGTCAGACAAGAAATTCCAAACTCATCATAGTCTCTTCGTGAGTGCAGTCTCTTCGTGAGTGCAGTTTGCAATCGGACGATGTGGTTGTGATGAGGCTCCACTGTCAGCCTTGCGACCGGTCAGTCCTTGACCCTACGTTCTGGGCTAAGTAGTGTGCCTTGCAAGAAGCTAGTGACTGTCAGAATTTCAACCAATAGCTAGAAGTTCTGCGCCCGGCTTGCACTACCAAGCCCTTAGCACGAGCACAGGTAAAAAGGACAAACAACAAACTGCGAAACTGGAAAGTAAACGATAGTTTAATCTTAAGAAGATGTTCCTAAAAATAAAGATCAGAGAAAGAAACAACGCGGTTTGCTGCAGAGGGTTGCTAAGTTGCATAAGTATATCTCTTGTTTTAGCAATGCTGTACCTTTTCATGGCCGTTCCTCTGAAACATTTGACTGTAACCAGCTTTTTGCAAGGCACAATGGCTCGTTTTGAGCTACACTGCGGGGCACAATTCACCAGGGGATCGCAAGGATGGACCTCGCTAACTCGCGCCCTCCTGGTCTCTCTTCACCAACAAGGTGCCTGGAAAATGTTCCACAGTGTGCCTGGCCGCCACTTGGGGCGGGGTCTTGCCGGCTGTGGCTATGCCCTATTTCTCGAATTGAACCTGTTAGATTAGTTAGCGCCAAAACGCTCACCGGTTCAGCGCGGGACTATAAGGCCGTTGTTGCCTGAAAATATGTCTCTTCTTTTCTAAGCCCTCCATTCTAGCCCTGAAGTCGTCGCTATGGCGAGCTATCTGCCAAATAACTCTTATGGCGCGTACGGTGGGTATGGAGGCAGTACCCACCAGTACGCGTACAATCTTCAAGATCACACTGTGCAGCAGTTGCCATCTGGGGTGTTTTTCCAGTCGAGTCAGATCGGCGCGGATGGCGAAGAGTTTGAGGTATTGGAGAAGGGGATAGATCCGCTCAATATCTTCCCCACATTTTACAACCTAGACAGCGGATTTGTATCTAACACCACCGATGGAGCTCCAACACCAAGTACTAGCAGTGAAGCGCGGTGCCTACCTCTGCTCGACGTCAATATAGACGTTGATGTTCAGTTTACCATTGCGAAGACGAAGGTCACGCAGACATTTACAAACCTGTCGAGCTATGTCATTAGAGAGACGAACTACTCATTTCCGCTATACGATGGCTCGGCTGTGATCTCATTCAGATGTCATGTTGGAGAGGATAAGCTCCTCGAAGGTGCCATCAAGCCGAAAGAGGTGAGTCGTTAGGCCATCCTTATTACTTGTTGGTTTCAATAACTTACTCTAACAGATCGCCAAACAAGAGTTCAGAGAAGCAGTAGCAAAGCAGAAAGTTGCAGCTCTACTCGAAGAACACACACCAGAAGTCTTTGAGACCAAGCTTGGAAACATCCCGGCCCGGAGTTTCGTCAAGGTAGAGATTACCTACGTAAATGAACTCAAGGCAGACATTGGGGGTGAGGGTGTACTCGTCACTCTTCCAACCTCGATGGCGCCAAGATACGGTGCGCCACCACCTCAGATGTTACCATCGTCTACTACGGATAAGAATGGCCTCCACATCACCGTCCATGTGCACGCGTCTGTATCCTTGCGCAAACTTGAAAGCCGAACCCACCCAATCTCCGTTGAAATGGGTGCCGCAGGCACAATAGGAAAACCAGCCGCAGTGTCGAGTTTTGGCGATCTCGTTCGTGGGGCCGACAAGTCAGATAACGAGTTTGACCCAAAGAAGGCGAAAGCGACTCTTTCAGAAAGGAACGTCACCCTAGGACGCGACTTCGTGCTCCTGATTCTTGCATCCGGGTCAAGTATGGTTGCCTCGGGAGCGCAGCTTGAAGAAGCGTCTGGGGCAGAGCTACAGTCTGCCATGAAACTTACTTTGAATCCCCGCGATATCTTCTCATCCTACGTTGAGCCAGAATCTTTTAATGGCGAAATCATCTTTATTGCAGATCGATCTGGATCCATGCATGGACTAACAATGGACACGCTTAAGGACGCCCTGGACGTGTTTCTCAAGAGCTTGACGGAAGGGGTACGCTTCAATATCTACTCCTTTGGGTCATCGTTCACTTCGCTCTGGCCACAGTCGCAGCCTTATACCGATGATAATGTTGAGGCGGCCGTACAACATGTATCAACGTTTAGAGCTAATATGGGAGGCACTGAAATCCTTCGGCCTATTAAGGATGCCGTTCAGAAGCGCATAGTCATGGAAAACTTCACAACTCAAATCATTTGTTTGACCGATGGAGAAGTCTGGAGCGAGGCTGAGGTGCGCGAATTCGTGTCAGGTACTCGATTGGAGCTGAAGGATGCCGTCAGATTTTTTGCCCTGGGTATCGGAAATAAGGTATCCCACCGTCTTGTTGAGGGGATTGGCACCGAAGGCGGCGGATTCGCAGAAGTTATTGTTGTCGACGGTAGAGGACGATTGGAGGGCAGGGTCATGAGGATGTTGAAGGGGGCTCTCACGCCTGCAAGCTACGACTGCGAACTCGAATTCGATGGCAGGTCTACATACGCTGCTTCCTCATCCAACGAAGGCTCGAGCTTCATGCAAGCACCTTACAAAATCCTCCCTCTGCACCCGTTCTCGAGGACGACGATATATTTCCTATTCGACAACAAATACAGCGCAGACCTCAAGGTTGTTACTCTGAAGTCGTCAACACCTTCTGGAGAACATATTTCGGTCAAAATCCCAGTAGTGAAAGCCGCCGCGAATACGTACATAGTGCATCACCTTGCCGCCAAAGCTATCGTCATGGATCTCGAAACCGGCAAGTCCTGGCTCCACAGTACCCTCACCAATAGTAAAGTGGCAGATGCTGCAGCCAAAGATCTCGGCGAGCGGCTTGCGGTTAACTATCATATCACTAGCAAGTGGACTAGTTTCGTCGCCAGAGAGAAGAAAGGGAATGAAGAAAATACAGGGCGGCTGTATAAAGCGCCTAGGAGAGACCTTGCGGAGCTGAATAAGCGCCGAACGGCGCCGACTGCGCAATTCTTACAGGCCCATCGGCAAGCGGTACTGGCCACGACAGGACCATGGTATACGGGGTCTCCTCCCCTGAAATCATATGTCCCTCCTTATGTTTCCAGTGGTTCCACTGCGGGTGCTAGTCGTCGTACGGCGTTAAGTCACACCTCAGACCTGGTGAATAGTCCTGAGGCACCTAGTCCGAAACTTGGAGAGCAGTTTCCAGAGCCATATGCTGGAAGCGACTCCGTTCGGCATGCATTCCAGGATGAGGACGGGTCTCGAAGTGTTTCCTCACTATCGGTATCAAACAAGTCAGGTGAAATTGAGCAGTGCTTCTCAATGTTCTCTAAGACCTCCAAAATCAAAGAAAAAAATTCCGTTGGTGCCTTAAATATGGGTGGTAATTCGCTAAGCTCTGCTGACTTTTCAAGCTTTCCCTCATTAACTATGTACGATTCACACACGCTTGTCTCTGGAGAGTCGCCAGTTCCTCACGATGACCAACGGCAACAATTGCGACGACCGCAACAACAGTTAGAACGATCGTTCGACCTTCCTGTGCAGGTGCAGTATGGCAGCTGCCGTGCTGGAAGTGTTGAGGCTCTAAAATCAGAGCTAGATGTGGAGGAAGACGATCTTTCGTCATACACACAACTTTCGTATACTATTAAGCCCATGTCGAAATCTATGGCGTCCGCGAACTCCAGTCCCGACTCCAACGACGCGTCCATGGCCTTGAACTTGCGGAATGTTATTCGCATGCAGTCTGCACAAGGCTCATTTAGGCTACCCCCGTCCTTGCTCACCGCCATATGCTCGCATTTCACCGCAGGAATAATGTCCATGCTCGAGGCTACACTAGCCAGCTACAGCAATAGCAACGGCGAGGATATGAAAACCAAGCTCGGAGATACGCTTGAGTTCCTCTTGCAAACCATGCTAGTTGTGACGTGGATCAAGCTTGCTTGTGCGCCAGATAAGGAGATTTGGGAGCTGCTAGTTTGGAAGGCGGAGAGGTGGATTGGGAAGATGGTCGGAGAGGTGAATACGTGGTCTGGGAAGGTGGTTGGGGTTAGAGAGGTGCAGCGGAGGCTAGGGGATTATGTAAGGGAGCAGTGGATAGACAGTCACGTTGCTTGACGAGGTTAATGCAACGATAACATGTCAAACACTGAGCCGCCCCATTATGAATGCATCTCCATGCGACAACTCAGAGTGGTCCCCGCTCGGATGAGAGGCCTCGGTGTGGAATGTGACGGATGATGACATAGGACCCGCAATACTACGCTGCTAGGATCACGCTTATGTGAAGGCCTTGCCATTGGGGGGCAGCATTGTGGTTTGGTTAAAGTCTACATGGCTAAGGTTGCAGACGATAGCTCCACCGGCACTACCGTATCGTAGGGGCCTAAGATCTTTAACGCAAACTAAAGCAAGAAGCTCTTAGTGGTTCTAAAGTCTCTAGCTTCTGGAAACTACCTCGTCTGAGCCGAGGCTATCGCACTCTATGCGGAACTCTCAGGCATACGTGTCGTGCTTTCAGGTTAATGTTGTTGTTGGTGGTGGAAGAGCGAACCCAAGTGGTGTGTAGCTCCTGGCGGCATACAAGTCCAGGTTAGTAGACATTTTTGAGGTTTTGCAAGCTAGCGAAAATTAGTGATGCGAGCTTCTCAGAGTATTTGCAACACCAGCATCGAGTACGTCAGCCTAGCCCAAGCAGTTTATTGCATGACATCCTATATGCTGCCAATATCAGTCAACCTTCGCATTAACCCCTCTTCTTTTTAAAGCTGCTAGCATCTGAATGCAAAATCAAACTTTACTAAGCACCCCACTGTAGTGGGCTGGTGCCCAGGGGTATTAGCTAGGGATTAGCTGGTAGCGCTAGGAAGGGCATGGGGCATATTGCAGCAAACTACAGTATACATCAGTCGTGTTGCAAGTGGCGCTAAGCTAGCTTGTTGACGACGCTATTGCAATGGGCTGGTGCCCAGGGGTACAGCCTGTCACGGTTAACTTGGACATGCCTCGAACTCTCCCCAGAGAGCCCTCGGCCCGGCCTTGGGCACATGACGTCACGTCACGTGCCCTAGTATATATACATATCCTCTCCCAAACCCCTGAGTCTCCTCAAGGATTCGTCTATCAATACTATCCTTTACCCCCTTCTGCGCTTCATGCTTCCTGTTTCACAGTGCTCTCACACAGCTAGAGATTAGCTGGCAGCGTTAGGAAGAGCACGAAGCAAACTGTAGCAAACTACAGGAATTTGCAGTGATTTGCAGTGATTTGCAATGATTTGCAGCAAATTGTGGGAAACTGCAATAAACTGCAGTAGATTACCGCAATGTGCAGCAAATTGCGGTACACATCGGTTGTATTGCAAGAGGCACTAAGCTGGCTAGTTGACAACGCTGTCCCTAAGCTAGACCTAACTTAGTTCCGTAGTGAGGACACAGTTCTTCTTCATCGAATTCAACACTATTATCAGGCATTTACCAGCTATGCCAAGCCATTACGTCTATCCAATAGTTAGACCTAGGTATTACAGTATTAAACCTAGTTCGGTAGTGAGGATACAGTTATTCCTCATCGAATTCAACACTGCTATTGTAATGGCTCGGGGGAGCTGGCAAATGCCTGATAGCAGTGTTGAATTCGATAAAGAAGAACTGTGCCCTCGCCACAGAACTAGGTTTTATACCGCAACACCTAGGCTAGCATTGTCAACGAGCTAGCTTAGCGCCACTTGCGACACAACCAAGGTGTATTACATTGCTACAAGTTGCTGTAATCTACTGCAGTTTATTACAGTTTGCTACAATTTGCTGCAGTTTGCTGCAAGTTGCTATAGTTGCTGCAATTTGCTTCATGCCCTTCCTAACACTGCCAGCTAATCTCTAGCTGATACTCCTAGACACCAGCCTTTGACAGTTATCAGGCATTTGCCAGCTGCGCTAAGCTATTACAATAGGTTCTCGAGTATATGTAACAATGGTTACTAAGCATTTATAAGTTCTTTCGAGCTATAACAATAATACCTTGAAGAGTGCTAAAGTAAAGCCGCATTATACTATATTTAACGCGTAAATAGTTAAAGCTTTAGTTACTGTTACTTAAGACTATTTTATTATTTAACAAATTAGTTAAGCCGTTGCAGGAATAAGTACATTTAAAGCTGGTAGGGTGGCTCACTCGCTTGAACTTTCTACACTGGAACGAATCGGTCGCGCTCGTAGGGAGGAGATGTTAGGGTAACAAATTGCGAAACTTACTGGGTGAGGGTTCCGGAAAGAGGAAGATATCTGACTCGGACACTTTTTTAATCGAATCTTAGCGTCTCGCTCAACTAGTTCCCGCTGCAAGGCGGCCCCTGCTCCTCCGGTCTTCTGAACATGCTGCTGGGCCCCGATGGCGACCTCGAGACGTAACCGCATCCCATCGACACCACCACCGGCCGCACCTAGAGCACGCGCAAGAAAGCCGAGCGCGCGAAGGTGCCAGAGATGCAGCAGGCGCTGAGGACGCAGACAGCAGCAGCCCTGCTTAGGCAGGCCAGAACAAGAGTCACAGCGTCGCAGCCGCATGCTTAAGCATCCTCGAACGCGCAACAACTGGCGGACGATGAGCTACCGCCCTTTCCCCACCGACCGCGATTCCACCTCACTGGAACAGGGAGGAGGAAGCGCCAAGCTAGATGAAGTGGTACGCTCATCCAGAGCCTCAAAGCGACGATAGCACAGCAGAGCAGCATCACTGAGAGCACCCGAACAGACCTCACAGCTATCAAGGCTGAGCGGCAGTACCTCAAGAACCAGAACGCCGAACTGCAAGAAACCATCCAATCGCTCCGAGCGCAGCTCGACACCCTCTCAATTGAACCCCCATCAACGCCGACATGGCGGTCAGTCGTAGCCAGCTCGTCGGGTCGGGCATGACGTCGTCACGACCGACAAACTCGGGAACAGCACGTAGGGAGAACAGTCGGCAGATTGTGATCGATGTCAGCAGGGTAAGAGAAGATGTGGTTGAGAAAGTAGCCACCACCGAAGCAGCAAGGCAGACTATTCAACAGGACACGAACGGCATGGAACGGCTTGCTGGAGCAAAAATCAAGGGCTTTCACGGGTGGCGAGCAAACAACAGCCCAAGCGTGATGAAGTTCTCAGCGGACAAGGACAACGAGGCGGCATTCCGGCTGACAACAACTGAATGGCTGGAACCGCGAATCCAGGAGCAAGCCTAGTAGGGCTCAAATGGTACCCTGTCAAAGCAAACTAAATAGAGGTGTCTCTGGCGATGGAGCGCATTGGTACGGGAAACGGAGTGGGGTGCACGATGCGGTGGTTCGGGCGACCGAGGTCTAGCAGACAGCACGCTTCAGTAGTGATCAAGGTGGCGACGAAAGAGGACCCAGAGAAGCTACTGAAGCCGGACAGCGTAACGTTTGGCGGAAGCGGGCTTATGATGACGCCGTTCGAAGAAAGGCGCACGCCAGAGAGCAAGTTCAGGCCGTCGCCGAAGACTATGAATCTGGACGGGTGGACAGATGCGTGGATGCGTCTGTACGCAAAGGCAAAGCAGGCATTGGCAGTACGCGATATTATCTCAGACATGCATCTTGAAGACAATTTCAAATTCACATTAGGCAGACGCGCACCTCACAGAGCTCCAGTGACCAGTGAAGCAGCTAACTGGCTATGGGGTTCATCGTGTATGGACCGAGACGTAACCAGCTCCTCAGTACCTGTGCCCAGCATAGAGGTTTTCTCGGACCCACAGTCTGCGCTCTAATCGATCTAGGGCTGGAGGGCAAGTGTGTGTTAGGAGGTGGTCGCAGGGATCGTGAAGAAGCTTCGAATGGTGATTGTCACGCTATACTGGATGCTAGAGCATATGGGGATCAAGGGCAACGAGGAAGCCGACAAGCGGCGAAGACAGCGACTGGAGAAGAGGGTGACCAGCAGCAGGGTTTCCAGCGGGCCGTACCACGGTCCGTACAAAGTGAACCGTAACGGTCACGTGATTAGTACTAACGTATCGAGTTCGTGAGCAGCGTATTACCATTTTAGAGTTTGTATGGCAATTTTAGAGGAGTAGGAGGGCTCTGGCAAGCAGTCGGCCTGGAAAAGCGTTTAGGGGGTTTCTTAAGCTCTAATTAGCTGAAGGTTTTGCAAGGACGCGTGAATCTCTTTCTAAATTTTTTAATCTATCTATCTAAAGTCTATCATCTTAAGAATTCCTATTACTGACTTTTTCTATTGCAGAGTTATTCATACACGCGCCTTGCTGCCTTACAGGCCTTATCTAGTTAATTAGATACCTCTGTTGTCCATTTTGCGCAGTTTTACAGCCTGGAGAAGAAGTTGAGAGCCCTCTACACTGTGTACAGCTAAAGATTAATCGCAGGAGTTCCTAGAGGAACGCAATTATAACGCTACAGTTAAGTTTGCAATTAACTAGAATAATATATAGCTGTTAGACTCCTAGCTGCAAGTACAAGAGGTGTTGTAGTGCGGCCAATTGTACAGTATCTAATAATTAAGGCTATTTAACTCTAGAAGAACTAGTTAAAGAACAAGGTAGTAAGCAGCAAGATTTTAAACCTCTCTGCTTATGTTATTAGAAAGAACTAGTTATTCAATAGTTATTTAGACCTTAATCCTGCGTCTCTAGAGACCTATAATATTAGCTGTTTTAACTAGAGTACGACGTACTTTAATTGAATTGTACTACTCGTACAGATCACGTGAGCCATAACGGTTACGATACATACACCTGCCTCTCCTCCTACCTGCCGTGCGAACGTACTCAACATCTCACTCGTACAGGCCTCAAAATCGCCCAATCGTACAGTACTACGCCTCGTTCGAAGCGCTGACCAGCCGCCGCAGCGTGATGATGTCCCATGGGATTTGTACGACTTGCGCTGAAGAAATCTGATATCGTAGCTAGATCGCTTTCGAGAAGGCGAGAGCTTCCACGGGCCGATGAAGCAGTGGAAGCCGGAAATGGCCGTTGTCAGAGCTAGAAGAGCAGAGGCAGCTGAGAGCCCCCTCTGTTAACAGCTAGCTAACAATATAACGAGCCACAACACGAACCTCGGTCAGTGCGCTGCCGATTAAGAAGTATACGACGCCGCAACTTCCCTGCGGACACGAGGCCTTCTGACGACCCTCTGCTCGCCACTCACTATGAATCTCTTATGTTATACTGATAGAGTGTTTTCCTCGTTTCTTATGTTGGGTAGGGTGTTAGGCAATAGACGAGCAGGATGCATTTAGCTGACACGCTTTAGCTCCCCATACCCATAGACTGCATGGTCATAATAGAACGTACATACATAAATAACCTCTTCTTCTAACTTGGAAAGCTTCTTCGACTGTGGCTCGCAACAGCGTCGGGCAGGCTTTCCAGCACGTTGGGCGCGGGCCATGCTTTCAGGAACGTTGTGCGTTGCTACAGCGCGATAAACGCTCTGTATCTGCCTCCGGTCTGCAGCTAGGTCAGCAATCACAATGCCTGCTTCATTAGATGGGGATTGAATACAGTTGACAGAGGTGTTGCAGTTTCAATGTGACTAGCTGCGAAAATTGGGTGAGGCTTCCGACAATTTGACTTGCACGAAAGGTCTTGCTAGCCCAACTCATCGAGAATGGATGCGACAGAGAGATATCCTAGAATTTATTCCGTAGCCGAGTCGAATTAAATGCTTCCTTTCTGTCAGCTTAGATTGGAAGCTAGTTGCGAGAGAACCCTCCACTATCTCTTGAGCAGCTCGTCCATCACTAATCACGTGTGAAAATTGTGTTTGCAGAAATGGATCTCGGCGTACCTGGAACCTTATCTTTGAATGCCTCGTACGTTGTAGCTTCCAGGAGACTTGGGTGTGTAGCATCGACTACCGTTACTGTGAATAACTCTCCGCTCTCAGCCTAATAGAAGAGAACCCCAGCAAGCTAAGCGTCTGGAATATGGTTAGTGGGAGCTACGAACTGGAAATAATAACCCGCCTTATACTCGAGCAGGTGACTGGACATGATTGAGATAGAGACAGAGGACAAACTTCGTTTGATGAATTCGATGGTATTAATTTAGAAAGTGATTGTGCGAAGTAGAGCCCCCCCGAAGTACTAATACGCGCACCCATACTCCATGTGATCGCCTGATTGGCGTGGTGCCATGACTCGGATTCAATTTCACTATTCAACCAGATTATGCAGTCACGTCCTTATTATTTCTCTACCGTGTGGACTATACGACATATATGATTTGAGTAGACCTCATCAAGGCCATGATGTGTCCAAGTTGGATAACCTAACTACTAAAGAAACGCCTTCCCCGAACATAGAAGATATAATCAAAGAAAATAATACAGCCAACGATAAGACTAATGAAACATGGTTGGAATAAGAGTTTTGGGATAGCTTCCGAACCGCCAAATTCATGATCCGTTACTTGAAGTGAATGCTGCTAAGGATGGCTTGCATGAAGTGAGCGGTGCTTGCAAGTCAGTTGAAAGTGCTATGACAGTTTCTACCAGCATATCAAGTAGCGGATCTGCCATTTCTGCCCTCAAAATATGAGTGTTGCCCGCGATTACAATCCTCAGCTTGTCGCCTTGTGGCTGTGACAGGATGCCTATGTGGTGTGACACTTGCGAGGGGTTTTTGAACCACTGAGACTTCGCGGTTGCTCCCGCGATATGAATTTCAGGTTCCACATCGATGCTCTGGTGCAGAACCACCGAGTCAAGCGCCAGTCCAGGAGTCCAGTCCGTACATTGTTGGATGATGTCATCCCACCCCATTGAATCCGATTGCCCGAGCGTGATGTATTGCTCTTGGATAGAGAGTATGAGCTCTTCTGAAATTTTGGTAGGAGGAGTGACAGCCCTAACTGGGACTATGTTAACGCAAGGCCCAACTATTTCCGTGATACCCGGGATATCAGAATTGCGACCGGCGACTACATGTCCGTACACAACGTCTTCTTTTCCAGTAATTCGTGAAAGCACCACTGCCCAAGCGGAACTGACGAGAGAGGCCATTGTAAGATAATCAGGAAGAGTAGGAGCGTAGATAGACCTCTCAGCTAAGATCCCACGAGGGACAGCCTCCCCTGGCGTTTCCGGTTGAAGTATTGTAATAGCCCTGGTGAGTTGTGAGCCTTGGAGGAGTTCCCGCCAGTAATGAGCTGAGTCAGTCTGTTGGTTACGGGCATGTGCAAGATAAGTCGAAAAGCCTGTAGCAGGGTGTAAGGGCTCCTGCTGGTAGAGAGAGACAAGTGTTTTCAAGATGACTGGAATACAAACACCGTCGTACTGGGCATGAGAAAGGCGAATAATCAACCGATTTTCCTTGGAGCTGTTACGTACGAGTACAAAAGAAGTAGGGAGTCCTAGTGGATCTGTCTGTTCGGTATCCCGCATACAGATTGCGTCCGATTCTTCTGGAAGTGGTCCGTTGACCTCAAATGTGGTAAAAGGCAATTCAATGTCATTTAGGACGACCTGCCACCATTTCCCTTTGAAGTGAGCGAATCGTGTGCGGAGAACCGGGAAATGGTTGACGAGTTTGCGACAGCTGTCTGTGAGGAGATCTACATCCAGTTGCGGTCCTATATCAACGTAAAGGTAATTGAACGCTATGCGAGGCATTGCAATCCCTTGCGTGATGTAGTTTTGTTGTGCGTAAGTGACAGGAAGAATGTCGACGAAATTCTGAAGTTGTATCCCTGGGATCAAAGGGTTCAACCCAGAAAGAACTGCCTCCTTCATACTAGGCGGAAGGAGAGAATAGACGGGGATTGATTCTGAAGCGTGGTTTGAAGGTCTGAAGTGGTCAAGGCCTGTGAGGGAGGGGAATTCCAACGAAAGATCGTTCTGCGTCCACTCGGTGCTTGTGCAGTGGAGAAGGTTGGGCAGCTCCAGCAAGGTGGTCTTGTACAGCTGAACCCAGTCTTGAATTTGCGTTTGATGCTTCGTGATACCACTGTGTGCAACACTTACATGTGCGCAGCCGTTTCCTATGATCACAGAAACTGTAAACAAGGAGAACCTGGCGGCTTCAGCCGCTGATGCTGGGTCGCAGCCTTCCGGAATAGGCACATTCTTGAACAAAGATTCATCGCGCTCAAGCTGCTGGTACACGCCTTGATAATTAAACACCATTTCCACAGGGAAAATAGATATGAAATCACGAATGGTGCCTTCGTTGACAAAGTGGGATGCAAAATATGACTGGCCACTGCGCTTAAAGCTTCGCATGCAATCCTTTGTTGCACAGATGACATCAAGCAAGCTGCTGCGCGCGCCAGTTGATAACTGGACAGGGAACATACTTGTAAACCATCCCACAGTTCGCGAAAGGTCAATGCTGTCGTCCCATGGCTCACGCCCATGAGTCTCATTGAAGATTGGAGGAGGGTTTCGATCAGGGAAGGCAGCCGCAAATGAATGAATTAGGGCTGCGATCATAAGCTCAAGAGGGCGTGTTCGGAGCTTATTGTTGCAGCTTCCAAGAAGAGCGGATGTTGTCTCGCTATCAAGCACAAAACGCTCGGTAATTGTAGGGGTGTGCGATGTAGTGCTGGGTGCTACGCCCCAGTATGATAGTTGGCCGACGTCTATCTTCTCTTGTATCCCATTTCTGTGATCTGCATCCCTACTAGCGTACTCAGTCTGGATGGCGCGCCAGGTTTGGAAGGGCATTGAGGATGCAGGGGATAGTGTTCGGCCCAGGAGTAAGTATTCTAGCTCTTCAAGAAGGACCCGCCATGACACGAGGTCAATCACTAAGTGATGAACACCCATGAACAACGACTGGCGATTTCCAATGTCAAACAAGATTACTGTTATAACTGGTCCACTCTTGATGTTTAAGCGGCTGCGACTTTGGAGTATAGCCTGTGTGATGTCTGCAGTGTCCCTAGGCCGCACATGTTGCAAGGTGAAGGAAGCGTCAGTAGAATCAGAGACATGCTGCTGCCATCTGCCTCCAACTGCTTTGCTGAATCGAGCCCTTAGCATAGAGTGGCGCTGGACAAGGACCCTAAGGGCAGAATAGAGCAACTTCAATGACACTTGAGTACGAAGTTCTAAGAAGACAGACTGGTCAAAACTGGCTCTACCAGTAGGTTCAAGCCGGAGGTACAGCTCTTGGATCGGGGCCAGGCCAAACGGTGTGTTGACTGGATCTTCTGCAGTGCGCGCGAGCTGAACAGGCTTAGATGATGCAGCATAGCGGGCAAGTTCAGCAATGGTCTTCCTGCGAAAGATGTCGCGCGTTGAGAGATGGATTTGAAGTAAGCGAGCACTTGCAGACAGCTGCATAGCTGTAATAGAGTCGCCGCCTAGGCGGAAGAAGCTGTCGTCCATACCGATGGTCTCAGGCTTAATGTTTAACACATGCGCCCACAGCTGCTGCATCGTCTGCTCGGCTTCTGTCGATGGCTGCCGCTTTAGGCCCTGGCTTGACGTCCGCATGTCAGCCAGCTGCTGGGCCGAGAAAGAGGCCCCAATCTCGCGTAGTCGCTTCCTATCTATCTTGCCGGAAACTGTCATGGGGAGCGGCGACAGCGCAAAGTATACGTCAGGTATCATATGGCTGGGGAGAGAGTCGGCTAACTTCTTGTCCACTCCGGTCAGGATGACCATCTGCACTGAGGACCTGTTATCCATTCCGTTGCGTGATTGTAGTGTATCGCGTTTCTCTTCATCTAGTTGCAGGAAGACCGCTAGTGTGGCATTTTTTTTCTCTCCCGCTGGCAAGATCACCTCCACGGCAATCTGGCGTGCTTCAGGGATGCACTCCCGCACGTGATGCTCAATCTCACCGAGCTCAACTCGCTGGCCTCGCACTTTGACTTGGTCGTCTTTGCGGCCTGCGTAGACTAAGTTGCCATCAGGCCCATAGTAGACTAGGTCACCAGTCTTGTACATTCTTCCTCGACGTCCGGGACGGCCTCCCCCGCCTTCTAGCAACCAGACGGGATCGTTGATGAATGCTGACTTCGTCTTTTTGCGGTCGTTGAGGTAGCCGCGCGCGAGGATTGGTCCTTCAATGAGAAGCTCGCCGATTGATCCCAGAGGTGCCAGCTTGTCGTGGTTCTTGGGGTCCACCACCCAGCTGACGGAAGCTACCGGCTTGCCGATCTTCCCAGATTCAAAGCCTTGAACATCTGAGAATGTGCAACAGCAGACGCAGCACTCCGCTGGCCCATAGCCGTTTATCATTCGAACGTTCCCTCCCCATCTCTCCCAATCGGCAGAGCTAACATGCTCGCCTCCAAGAACCAACGTCTTGAGCGAAGAGGTCATGACAGGATCAAGCAATCGGGCGACGGACGGAGTAAGAAATGCCCAGTTCACGTCCATATCCTTGATAGCTTGGGCTAGATTATCGCGCATATCGCTATGAGACGGCACACATGCGCAGCCACCATAAAGGAGTACAGTGAGTATCTCGTCAATGCAAGCATCGAAGGCATAGGAGGCGAACTGTAGGACTCGGGTGTGAGGGGCGAACCCGAGTACTCTGCCATGGCCTAGACAGCCTGTAGAGGCCGCCCTGTGTTCTAGCAAAACTCCCTTCGGCACTCCAGTGCTCCCTGAAGTGAAGATAACGTACGCGGTATTGCTTGGCTGTACCCCAGAATGCGTTGAAAGATTTGTGTTTGGAAGGTGCTGGATTGACGTTTCACTGACTACGACAACAGTGCGGGCTGAGCCTGCCCATAGGGTAGAGTACTGCGCCGACGTAAGCACCACCTCAGCCCTTGTCTGCTTAAAGATCTCCTCGTGGCGGCTGTGTGGATGTTCTGGGTCTAGGGGTGCAAATGCGCCGCCTGCCTTGAGCACCGCGAGCATAGCGACAATCATCCACATGGACTTCTCGAAGCAGAGTGGCACGATATCTTCTGGCTCGACGCCGAGCTCAACTAGATGGCCTGCTAGCTTGCTTGACAACTCATCTAGCTTGCTGTACGTCATCTCGCCATCCCACGCGCAGATGGCCCGCGCAGATGGCCGTGCCATGGCTTGCTCGACGAACAGGTCGTGGAGACAACGTTCAACCGTTGGGGGGGTCTCGGCGTTACATGTCCATATCTCTTGTTTATCATCGGGCGTAAGGGTTTCGATGTCTTCCACCTTGTCCTCTGGTCTTGCTCCAGCCAGCTGTTGCATGACGAAGGTGAACTGGCCCAGTATCTTCTCGACTAGCCATCGCTCTACCACACGCGAGTCGAAGCTTGCAGTAATGTGTACCCCTTCTGCAGCCAGCGTGCACTGCAGCATCAGCGGATATGTCGTGAAGTCTTGTAGATCAGAGTGTCCGTGCCACTCTCCCAGTGCCGTATCGCTCTCAGGCGCATTGCCTGCAGGCTGCACTACCAGCAGAGTCTGGAAGCCGCAGGCATGTCGGGCGCCCTCCGCCATCTTGGCGATCCGCTGCAGTCCCGTCT